CGGGGAATCCTTTTTTTGCTAGAGAAAAGCATGTTTTTGAGGCATTTTCCATTTTTAGAAAGGAAAGCAAAAATTTGATAGATAAAAAAAAACTTGCATACTGTTTTCATTGGCGACTGGTTGAGTTACAGTGGTCCACAAATTGTATTGTTACAGTGGACCACCAGTAACTGTAAGTCGGTGTTACAGTGGTCCACAAATTGTATTGTTTGAAAGACTTTATAAGCTGAAAAATCATTTTATTTTTATAAAAAAAGTTTGAATTTAAAAGAAAAAATGATTAAAGAATCTTTTACCCTAAAAAAAAAGTGTACTTTTGAGTACACAAAAAGAAGTGTAGAGGTTTTTCGATAAAAGAAAAAACTCTGGCCAAAATGAGGCCCTTCCCGGGACACATAAGGGCCATAAGGGCCATAAGTGGGCTTCTTGAGGGGGAAAAGAGAGAAGAAAATGAAAGTTTTTGTGAAAAGAAAGTGTAGTTTATAGTATTATATAAACCTGGATTGTTAGTCATTATTGCTTGCTTGTTTTAAAGTGGCTTCTTTGTTTTGTTTTTGTTTTTGACGACTTCAGGATTGTTTAAAAAGCCAAGCTGAGCCAGGATTAGGATCTGGTTTCTGTGGCTTTTTTAAATAAGGATCTTTAAAAAAGCATTACTTGATTAGTTAGAATTATATGGAGGGTAGGAAGGAAGGAAGGAAGAGGAGGGAAGGAAGAGGATGGAGGAAGAGGATGGAAGGAAGAGGATGGAAGGAAGAGGAGGGAAGGAAGAGGATGGAAGGAAGAGGATGGAAGGAAGAGGATGGGGAGAGGATGGGAGGAAGGGGGGAGGAGGTGGAGGAAGAGGATGGGAGGAGAGGATGGAAGGAAGAGGATGGAAGGAGAGGATGGGAGGAAGAGGAGGGAAGGAAGAGGGGGGGAGGGGATGGAAGGGAGGATGGAAGGAAGAGGATGGAGGAAGAGGAGGGAAGGAAGAGGATGGAAGGAAGAGGAGGGAAGGAAGAGGATGGAAGGAAGAGGAGGGAAGGAAGAGGAGGGAAGGAAGAGGATGGGAAGGAAGAGGATGGAAGGAAGAGGAGGGAAGGAAGAGGATGGAAGGAAGAGGATGGAAGGAAGAGGATGGAAGGAAGAGGATGGAAGGAAGAGGATGGAAGGAAGAGGAGGGAAGGAAGAGGATGGAAGGAAGAGGATGGGAGGAAGAGGATGGAAGGAAGAGGATGGAAGGAAGAGGAGGGAAGGAAGAGGATGGAAGGAAGAGGATGGAAGGAAGAGGATGGAAGGAGAGGATGGGGGAAGAGGATGGAAGGAAGAGGAGGGAAGGAAGAGGAGGGGGAGGGATGGGAGGAAGAGGATGGAAGGAAGAGGATGGAAGGAAGAGGAGGGAAGGAAGAGGAAAATAGGAAGATGATGGAAGGAAGAGGAAAATAGGAAGAGGAAGGAAGGAAGAGAGCTCTCTGGAGTGACGAGACAAAGATCAACATGTTCAACCCAGATGGTGATCAAATGATTCGACGACCTATTGGAACACTCTACAAACTCAAAAAGTATCTTCGTCCTACAGTCAAATTCAAGTGGTGGCGGAGTGATGATATTCTAAGCAACATCCTAAACAATGTCCTACCGTAAATACTGTGATAGTACCCCACCTCCCTCGTACAGTCGCGTAGTCGCAAAAGTTTTTTAGTATTTCATTTCTTTCAAAGCGCCCGTACTTTCAGAAAATGTGTCTTTGGTATCAAAAAATAGCCCTGAATCTCAGCTATTTTTTGATACCGAAACGCGCCTTGTAGCATAAACCAGTGTCGAGAAAAACTCGTTCAAAGCTAGACTACGCAACGCTCCGCACCGTCATTATGGGGGTGAGGTACTATTACAGTATTTACGGTAAGCAATATCCTAAACAATGTCCTAAGCAATATCCAAAGTTTGTAGATGTTGCAATCCCTACAATTTATAAAAACTACTACATTAACTAATTTATTTGGTAGAATTAGTGGCAACTTCAAATAGTTTTCTCTTCAAAATCTAGCATCAGACTTGCTTCGGGTTGACTTAAACAGGTGAATTTTGGCTCGACCCTAAGCAAGTCTATCTACAGTCTATGTATAACAATCCTTAAGCTACGGTAGCCGGTAGCTTAAAAGTTCAGCTACCGTAACCCTGTAGCCAGTTAGTAGATGTAGTTCTAATAGCCATAAGCTATCTCTCTTGCATTATCATGTTGTTTGGAAAATCTTCCTCTTTCTTCGCCATCATTGCCAAGATTTTAGGACCGAAGCTGGTGATTAAGTCTCAAAATACCTGGACAAAATCGCAATAACACCAAAAATGATTAATCCTATAATTAAGCTATTGTTGTTATTGTCATTTTGTCAAACTCGACTCGATTCGATCCATCTCAATGACATCTTTCATTTTGAATTAACGATGCGAAACTAAAAATTGAGTTAATCAATAATAGAATAGAGCGTACTCTAAAACCTGTAAGCTTTCAAAAGCTACCGTAATCCAGATTTATCAAATTGTCTACGATTCTGTAAGGGTTTTCAACGAATACCAAAATGAGCTAATGAAGAGCTAATGAAGATTACGGTGCTTTCGTAAAATGACACGTTTTAGAATATGCTTTAGAGGACAAGAGCCTTTTTCGATTTTGCATACTGTTTTCATTGGCGACTGGTTGAGTTATGTAATCAGTAAGCAAGCCAAACTGCTGCGGGTCAATGAGGAATCGGTCCACGGCTTCTGGAATCTGGATCATCTAGATAGAGCGGTTTGTAACCAAGGTCAAGCTAGATCAAGCTCTGCCAGAAGTCGAATCAAGGCTGATCTGTGGGTCGAGCTGGGCTAATCTTTCCTGGACTGGTCAGGTAAGGATCAAGGCCTAGAGTTGGCTTCTGAGCTGACCCTGTCTCTGACCGGGAAAAATGATTTTGGTACAACCCTGCTCTGGCTATTTTGATGGTAAAATGTAATAAGTTATACAGTTATGAGTAGAGTGTGTTCTTCACGAGTAAGCAAGCCAAAGCAAGCCAAAGCAAGCCAAACCAAGCCAAAGCAAGCCAACCAAACAATGAGGAATCGCTTAAAACGTTTAAATCGTTTAAAACGCATACTTAGGAAAAATTACCGTACTTTTAGCGAAAATTATTGCAAAAAATCACGAGCGACGATTTATATACGACTCTTTTTAAAGATATTCAACCGTTTAACTGATTTGGTGGGGAATTCCCTTCACATGTAAAGATATTCAATTTACTCGACGTGTAAAGAGGATTACTCGTAGTTACTCGGCCAAAAAAAACGTCGATTAATTAAAAATTACTCATGTGAATTTTACTCGAGTAATTACTTGGAAGGAACACACTCTAGTTATGAGGCTGAGATGCAGAAGTTGTACAGTAAAGTTGTTTCGGTTCAGTTCAGATGGAAATAAATCTTGCACAAGGTTAGAACAAATTAGAGCTAGACGGTAAATTCAAATATCAAGAAAGCTTGTTTAGAAACTTTTTGATTATCTTTAGTTTTTGACTAGATTCAGGCCTTCAATTCAAATCAAACTTTTGTGAAATTTTATCTATATCAAAGTGCCTGCTGCTGGTCTAAGAAAAGATCTTCTTCTACTATGTTTAATAGTTTGTATGCTTTCTAAAATCTAAGCTTTTGACAATAACATTGATCGTAGAGCGTTGATTAAAGAAGATTTCAATCATGTTTTCATTGATTTTTTTTCCGTTGCCCAAAATTCAGCAAATTTGGACGTATTTTGTGGATTCAATTCACAATTACAGCAAGACGGGCTTGTGTTCTCTAAAACGTGACCCAAATTGGCGCGATCGGGCAATTAGCATTTAACCAATTTGAAAAGAGTGTAGAAAAAAGTTGCTTTTGCAAACAACATCTGCGCAATTAAAAAAAATTGTCATGGCAGATCAGATTTTCTTGAAATTTCTAGTTTTGCGTGTTTCCTTGTCAAAACCGGTAACAATTGTTCATTTTTGTCCTTGAAACTTCAAAAGTTTTCCAATTTGACATTGCAACTTGAAAAATTTCCCACCCTGACGCTAGAAAAGCGCAACTTGGCCTCGATTTTAAAATTAAAACATTAAAAACTTGATTAAAAACATGGTAAATTATTAAAAGAATCAAATCTTTGGGTATTATTTATGGGTAAATCTTCTTAAGATCGCTTTTTGAACTTGATAAAATTCGGGATTTGTTCGCAAGACCTTTTATTTCTTTGCATTTCACATTTTATTGTTTAACTTTTGGTCACCTATTTCTAAATCCCTAATCGACAAAATTGAAAAGGTTCAGAAAAACTTGACTCGAATAGCACTATTCAAAATTGATTTTGCTAACTACTCATCCGTCAGGTATAAACATAGATTGAAACTTTTCTCACTTGAAACCTTAGAACAACGCCGTCTTATCATAGATTTGGTTGAGTGCTTTAAAATTGTAAAAGGAAAACATCAAAATAAAAGATAAAAGAGCCACGCCTAAGCCTCAAGTTAGCCAAAAGCCTCGAGCCTCGAGCCTAAGCCTCAAGTTAGGCTCGAGGCCTCTTTTTAAAAATCTTTTTCGACTAAACTCGAGGCTTTTGGCTAACTTGAGGCTTAGGCTTGAGGCTCGAGGCTTTTGGCTAGGGTTTTGGCTAACTTGAGGCTTAGGCTCGAGGCTCGAGGCTTTTGGCTAACTTGAGGCTTAGGCGTGGCTCTTTTATCTTGCATCAGGCTCTTATCTTGCATCCCGAATCTGCTTTCTCTAAATCCTCTAGAGCTTTTTTCGTAAATCGTGCGACTAAAGTTTGGAATGCCCTTCCCGACAAGTTGCGTTTGATCTCCACCGTGTCTGATTTTAAAAGGGCTATTTCGTTGCATTTTAAGTGACTTTATGATCTTTTATCTAGTACATTTTTCATGTCGTTTCCGCACTTTATTTATTTCTGAATAAAGTATTTATATATAACTCATGAATGTATTTTCTTTTTAGATAGGATGGTCGAATATGTGAAGCTCAACGAATTAAAAGAGACTGCAAAAAATGAGCGGGTAAGCTTTTGTTTCGTTTTTGCTTCACTTTGATTGTTTAGGTGAATATTTGGGCTGTGGTTCGAAGCGTCAGACAAGTTTCGCCTGGTAAGGATTTGCGTAAATTTTCTTGCATTGAACATATTCTCAAAAAAAGCAGCACAAGGCTCGTTTTAAAGTAGCTATGGTTTGTGTGGTTCATTTTGTCCAGTTAAAGTTAATTCAAATTACTTTAGAGAATGTTTTTGAGATTGACGAGCTTGAAAGTGTGCAATTGTACAATGTAGCATGTCTTCTTAATGTGCTATTGCAAACATTGTAAAATTTTCAATAAAATATTTGCTTTAGACTCGGCGGTGGTGCTTCTGACGGATGAGACGAGCCCAAGTGCACTTTGCTACATCGATGTCGGGCGAAGCGAACGAGAGCATAAAGACGTTCGATCGTTGCACTTGCATTTGAAAGAAGGTTGCGTTGTTAGACTACATCGAGCAAAGGTACGAAAATTAGATGGATTCAAAAGCTAATTTTTATTTTAGGTGACAAGAGAGCCGAGCAATTGTTTGGTTGTGAGAGTGCGAAGTGACTCTGCAAACGGATCAATTGTCATTTACGAACCGGGAAACAACAACCCCGACACCTACGATTACACAAATTTTCGCTCGTACACAATTGAACATCATGAATATAGTTTGGTACGTGTGCTTTGAAATCCTAATTTACTAATTTGAATTTTAGTTTGCTGATCTTGTCAGCTACCGAGAAAGCATTCCTAGACGCGGTCGCATTTCTTTCGCGGCACCAGCCAACACTGACGGCTTTGTAAGATAAATTGATTTCTATCTTTTAACAATAGATTTTAGACAACACTGAACATGTTTCGGCCAAAGACTTTTCAAAACCTCTGTGTGCAGGTAAATCAGTTAAAATAATCTAGAAATTTATCTTTTTTTTAGGTGCACAGCATCTTTTTGACAAAAAAGAATGAAACTTGCGTGATTCGTTGCTGGGATGGAACCGATTTGAAGTTGTTTTTGAAAATTTTCATAAACTTCTTACTTTTAGTGGTGAAATGGTACGACAAATCGGTTCCATCAATCTAACGCTGGAGTTGATACCATCAGAAGACATTGGAAGCTATTGGGTAAGAAATTTACGTTTTAATATCTAATCAAGGCTCGTATTCAGGCTAAATATCATCCTACAATCGATGCTATATCGAAAAAAAGATGTGTTGATATTTCTTGCTACACGTTGTTGGATCAAATCAGGACATTGAAGGTAAAGTAGTTTGTGATTCAAAGACTTTAATGCTTACAGATATAGATTGCTTAAATGAACATGAGCATGGTTATTATATAATAAATAAATTGCCTTTTTTAGTCTGGAGATTTCGTCGAGTTGCACAATGTCGACTACCGTCAGCCACAAACATGCGAAAGTGGCAATTTTGATCCTTCAATTTTAATGCAATGTTTAGCCGCTTTTCTGAAACTGCCAGAAGATAGAGCGAATCGATCCAAAGTCGTGCCGATTTTGAATGCAGAGAATCATCCACGTGCTGAAGAAACTAAAAAGTAAGGACTTTTGGTTTAACTTACACTATGAAGCACTGAAGTGCTTTATTTCAGGCGAATCGACACTTTGCTCGGTGAGTATTTATCGAAAAACCAGGCTCCACCACCAGAGGACGAGAATGAGGTATGTTTTTTACATAAATTTATTTGAACCTCACTTTTAAGAGTGGTATCAGTGTGAAAAGTATTGAGTGCGGTGTTGAAAAGATAGTGCTTATGATATCACATTTATTGTTAACAGTACTACATTTCAACTTTTAACATGGAAACATATTTAAAAGAAACAAACACCTGTATACGAAATTTTAAGTTTTTAAAATCTTTTAATCAATGTAAAGCGACACGAGTCACGAGTACCACAAAACTATACTTTTCAACTCTCTTATCATTTTTGAGGATTTGTCACACGCCGTTCTTGATACACAAGCCACCGATCTTTCTTCGATGTCATTATTCAATGCTATGTGTGGTGGCGGACAAGAGGTATTTTTGTTTCTGGATAACGTTCAACTGAAGTCAGTATATGGATCTCTAAATATATTAGGATTTTGTTTGTATACTGGACTGCAAGCTGGATATTTATGTTAAACTTGATTGTTTTAGAATGTGGAGCCGAATGCGAAAATGAGTCCAAACGCGCAAAGTGTAGGTGAACAGACGAGCACAACGGGAGATTTTAACATCGAACCGAGTCTAGCGGAAACGCCGGCCCAAGAGCAAGAAGAACTTTCTTTCATCAAGACCGAGTCACATGTTTCAAGTTCACGAACTGTGAGGTGATTTTTGAAATTAACTATCGTTAATTTAATTAAAGCCTGGATTTGCATTTGAATTTTTAAACAATTTCTTTGTTTAGTGCTCGGGCAACGCCAGAAGCTAACAAGAGCGATGTGAACGAGACACAACAACGAAAGCGATCAACGATGGTCACTAGGAACACATTGAAAAATGAAGTAGGTCAAAGCCGGTTTTATCTAATTTTTGTCTTTGTAGTGTTGGTGATCATTTGATATTTTAGGCTGTAACACCTCAACATATATCTGTTCCGGTTTCGACTCGTCACATGCAGATCCAAGTAAAGCAGCGAGTTAGTGAGGTCACGACGGTAGCTCTCGGCGAAGAAGCTAGTGGAAAAGCAAAGGTGGGGCAGCAAGGTGCAAACTTAAGCGTCTAAGATTTTTAGGAACCTGCCATAGGATCGACTCACGCCACCAGAAGCAAAGGCCCCCCACAGCCGGCTTTCACTGAATCTCCATCAACAAGTCTGAAGATGGTTGTTCACCAAACAGCTTCTCAGGTTGTTTGTTTTGATGTTCATAACCGGCTCATTTAGGTTAATGTGACAAAACGAAAGAATAAGTCAGCGATTCCCGCACAGATCGAAGAAGAACGCTCCAAAACTTTGGTCGAGACGACTGTTAAAGTAAAATATTTCTCTTGTTTTTATATTTCTATATATTTTTGGTTGAGCCTCAGAATAAGAAAGATTTATCGAAAAAGAAAAAATCTCGATCAAGAGGGGTAGCTGAGAAAATAAACGTATGAAAATTTGCTTTAAAGTGCAAACTTACGAAGCAGCCTCAAAATAATCATGCTCGTAAATTCTGAACTTTCAATGCCAATAAGATTGCGCTTTATAACAGGTTTATTACTAACCGTGGTTGCTGCCATTGCGCAACTATTAACCATTAGTTCTTGCCTCAAAAAAGAAGTTTAGGATGATCTCACAAAAGGACTTTTGACAAGGGCTTTAATGAGCGTCAAAGTAATTTACTTTTTGTCTTTTAGATGATTTTATATATTTTCGGTCGAAATGCAAAGTAAAAGGCAAAGAAAGAAAAAGCGGAGAAGCAAAGAAAATGGCCAATCTAATGTAAGACAATTTGCTGTAGCACACGATCTTGTTCGGATAGACTTTGAAACCAATTTTTGTAATCTTGGAAAAGTTATTCCTGCAAGATTACACAGAAAATAGTGTTTTGATAGAAATTACTGCCTTTGCTCAATTTCCGTTTTGTTTTAGTCACTTAAAGTTTTTTAAATTGAAATTTAGAACTTGGTTGCAAAGGATAAACCTGTTTCGATTACAAAAGACACGAACGATGTGAGTTTTGAAGTTTTGAATCTTATGTTTTGTGTAAATTCAAGACCTAATCAAGGAGAAAGTTATCTTTTTAGCAAGCGAATGTCCAGGAGAAAGCCACTGAAAAAAGTTCACCGAAACGTGCGGCAGTAGCAGTCAACAACCAGTCCAGCCCTGCTGCGAAGAAGAGGAATACGCAAGTGACGACCGAAGAAACGACCGCAGATGTTGAGCAGGTTAACAACTATTTTGAACTTAACTTTAACATGGATTTTAAGCCCGCGCACAACGCAGAAATTTTGATGAAAAAGAGAGGTCGACCATCAAACAAATATGTTGAAGCAAGAAAAGCAGCAGAAGTTGAAACCGGAGCTCAAGAACCATCGACTAGTGCTGCACAGGTAGGATTTTCTCAAAATTTAAACTTTGTAGCTTTCTTGAAAGTTCGGAGTTAAGAAATCCAAAACTTTTTGCATCCGGTCTAGTTGAGTAACTTTTTAATTTCTTGGAAAGTTTGAATCCATTCAGTCAATCGAATTTAAGAATTTAATTTAGCCAAGCAACGACAATGAAGCAGCTCCGACCAAGGCACCAAGCCCATCCAAAACTCCGACCAAGGCACCAAGCCCATCCAAAACTCCCACCAAAGCACCAAGCCCATCCAAAGCTCCGACTGCAGACAAAAATGCTCAACAGCAACCCGAACAACCATCAATGGATATTGCACAGGATGTAAACTTTTGACTTTTTAAAAATTTATGCAGACTTTTAGGAAAATCCTTTGCAAAATGTGAATGTAAAAGGGTCCATTCGAGGAACCGATGATTTTGACGAGGAAGACGAGGAGTTTGATGCAGATGTTGGTTTTTAGAATTTATTTGTTAATTTAACTCTTTTAGGTTGCGCAACTAATCACAGAGCATTTTGCAACGAAGTTACACATGGAGATTGGTCTTCCCGAGTTGCCGACATGGGATGAAGAGGCGAGAGCGACGATGAAGATGAGTGTCGGCGAGGTGGCATGGTTGTCAAAGTGGGTTGCTTTGAACTAAGAAAAAAGCAAGATAATGATTTGCAATATTGAGTTGAAGTGGAAAACACAGCATAAAGTCTTTGGAAAATTAAAAACGTTTTTAGTTGGTTGAAGCCGGCAAGCGATTTGTTGCAATCACCACTTTTTATGGGACCAATCAAGGGTCTAACAATCGGATGGGCTTTACGATGCACGCGATGTCTTCAACAGGTTTGTTGTTGATTGCACAAAACTTTCATAAACTTTATGCTTTAGATTGCGATTGAGAGGCGAGAATCTGCAAAAAGCTGCTTTTGTCCATATTGTTTTAAAGGTCCATACTTGTGGAAATTGCTGTTAATTTATTATGATTAATCAAATCATAATTTAATTATTTTAGGCAAAAGCTTGCTCTACCCATGCGAAATTATCTACAGATTCCTTGTGCCTGTGTGGTTTACGGTAACGATTGCAATTGAGTTTTGTTAAATTTATATCCTAGGACGAGGAAAACCGCGACCGGGTGTTCTACGCTCGAATTGACCATCTCACTTTGGTATGCTTTGTCATTGTACCAAGTAACAAATATAAGCGACTTATTTGACAGTAGATTCAAATATTTCAATTTTAGCAAGCTTGCGATCCACACTTTCGCTGGTTCGACGCGAAGGAAATCGGAACTCTCATTGAGAAAACGCCTGAAGAATGGGCGCTGATTCGTGATGCGATCATCAAGCATGCAGCGGTAGGTGTTTGATTGATACTTTAGTAACTGAATTTTTTGCACCTGGGAACTAAATGTTTTATCTAGCAGCTAGGCAGTTCAACGGCATTTTTAGATTTTCCCGAAACAAGGCACAGTAGATATGCACAAGTCTAAAGTAGATAAGTTGTTTGAAGGCTTGGCACAAATTTGTGATTCAGCTCCATCAGATTGCTTCATACTCTAAGGTTGCACCTTTAGGGAATACTCGGCAATTTCAATCTTCTCCTCAACAAGTCAATCGTTCGTGGTCATCCCAAAGATGCGATTGGAACGACGGTCCTCCTCGATGTGCTCGATTGCCGCGTGCAAAAGCCGGCAGTGGCAAAATGAAAGTGTTTTTTCTTTAAATTGAATTGATATTTCCTACTTATACTATTTATATGAAACGGGTCACTTTTAATACCTCTTTTAATACCATTTAGTATTTAATTTGGAATGTTTAACTCGCAGAATATTCACATTGTTTTTGGCAGTATAAATCATTCATGTTCAACTTTAAAGACTTTAGATCAGTTTATCAAGGCTGGTTTCAATTTTTGGTCGCTTTTTACAAATGAAACAGCTGTCACCCCATCAGCCACCCATCCACCCCAACCAGTCATTTTGCGCGAATCGTCGTTTGAAACCTGTAAAATCCTCGGTTTGCATTGATTTTAGTGACGCAAATAGCCCGGCTGTATCCATTTTTGCACATTTTTCAAGTCTAACCCACAAGCCAATAGAAATCCTCGGAAAGTCCGTTGCTGATCGGGGAATAATCGACCGGTGTCCGATGGCTCCATTTTCCATTTCCGACCACTCCCGTCCCGTGCAGGTCAACCCATGACCATTCGGCCACACATGGATGACCGTTTGGGTCTTCAATCTGCAGATCGGCTACGTTTGATTTAAACAGAGCCAAATTTCTCCTGTTCAGAACAATCCTAATCTTACTCACTGATAAGAAAATCGTTTTCCTCATCCAAATGAATCGATACTATTGGGTTGGTGAATTGAAAGCTGCGGGACTTTGAACTAAAATTTATTCAACATAAAACCATCAATTCATTTCAAATAATTTCCATTATTATTGACGACTTCTGCCCATTTTACAAGCAATTTGCGGATTCCTCTTTCGTGGTAGGATTTTGGTTTGTGTGTGAGACTCGAAAATGGAGGACTGGAGATGTCCCAGTTTGAGCACTTTCTTCAAAAGAAACCCATTTTGGTGTCAATAGAAAAGTTGTAGAGAATCAAAAATTAGGCTTATGGCCAAATTTCGAAAAAGATACACTTAGTAGTTTCGCTTAAAATGCAAGTTTTGTGAAAATTCGTAAATTTCTTGCATTTCTTGAAAACCAGTTTTTGAATCGTTCTGAAAATTTGGATATAAGCTTGATTTTTGATTCTCTACAACTTTTCCATTGACACCAAAATGGGTTTCTTTTGAAGAAAGTGCTCAAACTGTCACATATGACAATAGCCGGCTCATTTTCAATTCACCAACCCAATAGCTTGGCCAATGCTAGGCCAGTAATCAGGAATGGTTAACTAAGTAAGCTAGTAATCAGCTAAGCTAAGCCAGTAATCAGCTCTGCTTTGAATTCTGGCCTGAATATCTGCAGTTTCCAATTCACCAACCCAATAGATGTACTTACAACATACAACAACAAAAAACCAGCAACAACAACGAACGAGTTAAAAATTTCTATTTATTTTTGCAGCTTAGGCTATTGTGACATCTTGAATTGCAGAGTCGGCCATCCTTTTTGCACCAACATCGACTGGATGAGCATTTTCCAGCACATAAGCAATTGCAAAAAAACGCTTAAGAACATATATTAAGCACGTTTATTATTGTTCGATCTGTATCGGACGTCCGATATAGACTGTAATCAATAAAATACCTTTGAAAAATGCAGAAAACTACAGAAAACGCTTAAAACATATATTAAGCATGTTTATGTTATTGTTCAATCTATTAGGTTGATGCATAAGTCTTTTCGTTCCTTTTCGTCTGCCGTTTCAAGCCAACAAATGCACGAATTAAACTACGGTTGATTTCATTAGAAAAACGAATTATTTTTCTGCAAAATAACATTAAAACGGGTTTAAAAATATTTAATGCCTGGATTTTCTTGAGAGTATGAAGTCGGGTAGTCAAAAAGGGCTAACTCGATGATGCGGTTTAGACACCTTAGCTAAAGAAAACCTATCTTCGTGTCAATAGATAAAAGATAGAGAAAAAAAACGTTTGATATTTCGCCAAAATTTCAGAGAAATTCATTCAGCCAATTTTTCCGTAGAGTTTTTTATAGATTTTTACGAAAAAGGCGTTTTTCACTCTCGAATTTGCTTGAAAGTGAACCGAAATTCATTTAAAAAGATGCAAATTGAACAAAAAAACACTTTTTTTATAGAGCAAACTATGGATTAATTGGTGAATTTGTTACTTTTTAACAGAAGTACGAAAAAAACGAAAAGACTTATATGCATCAACCTATTATATAAGATTTAGATTGAATCTAAATCGGACGTCCGATATAGACTGTAATCTAAATCGGACGTCCGCGATAAGTTCAATCTAAATCGGACACAACATATATAAACATCACTGTTAAAAGTTTGACCCTTCTTGAGCAATTTGAGTAAAATGAGTAAATGAAGACGAAGAGAAAGATTACCTTTTATTGACTGGTCATTTTATATTTTTTAGCCGATTCTGTTCTCTTTGTCGCGTCAAACAATACTTTCAATTGAATCTGACAAATAAATGATTTGAAAACGAAAAAGAAACGACGACGCGGCGCTCCCATCGACTACCTCCAAATGGCGGCGACGTCAATTGGAATGCGACGCCCCATCAGATTCGTCGATTGGAATGCGACGCCCTAAAAGGAATTCGGCTGTTGAGACATTGTACACGTTCCATTGATTTTTGAATTTGAAATTGAAAGTGAAATTCTAAAAGTTGGACTGTTTGCTAGGTTAGAGTAACTTTTGCGTATCTTTAGAAGCGTTTAAATCGAGTTGAAGCCAATCTTGCTTACAACTTTACCTGGAAATTGTATGAAAATGAGAGGATTTTGCGAAAATATTCTCAATTTTTGCTATGTATCGACGAAATTTGTGGTTGTGCTCAAATGATGATAGAGATGGCTGATGACGATGATGGAGTCCTGGAATTTGTGCAATACCAGAGACATTCGCGGAGAGCGTCTGGATAAGTTGAAGCTAAAGATTGTACGACCAGAGAGGCCAGGGACTTTTTTTTGCATCTTCTCTATCGGAGACGCGTTCCCGAATTTTTCGAAACACTCTTTGCCGATCTCGGAGCTAATGCTAACCTCAAACTTTGGTAATAAACCGAAATTGAATGTCTCTATGCCTTATCGTGTGCCAGATACCTAGAAGACACACCAAAGGTACACACAGCCAACTCCACCAAACGTATCTTTCTTCTTTGGCTATTTCAATGATCATATCATGCGCTCGTTGACATTTAAGTGTGCCAGAAGGGATGTGTTTCGATTTTTAATAAGCACAAGTACAATATTCAACACATTTTGCCGTTTAAATTGGATTCAAAAGAGAATTCTCTTCTTTGGCCTTTGAGCTTGAACTTTTCGATGCTGGCTTTGACCTTGAACCTTTCGATGAGCTGGTGAACTAAATGAAATTCTTGCACAATGATATCTCGGCTTGTTATCGGATAGACAGCGATCGTACAAATGGAACGGTATTTCGAAAATTCCCAATTTCAAAGCCATGCTTCACAATATTTTCACGAATTCATTGACATCGAATTTCTCGAAATGTTCCTACAACGATACTTGGGAGAATTTTTTGGGAAAATTCGTCGAATTGGTAAGTTGCCTCGCTCGTCTCGTCTCCATTACTCAAGCAATTACAGGGTGCGTCATAATTATTGCAACAAGAGTTCAAAGACCGTTTTCCAAACAGCTTTCTTATTTTTTTTGCCCCCCTTTTTTGTTGTGTTGCGTTCTATCTTCTTTATTCTTGCCTAATTGCCTCCCGCTCACACAAAGAACGGTTCAGGAAGACGGTTCAGGACTGGTGTGTGGCCAACTTTCCCTCAGTGATCACCAAGGATGAATGGCCTCCAAACTCACCGGATCTCAATGTGATGGACTTTTCCATTTGGGCAATCTTAGAGGCTAATGTCTGCTCTTTGACCTTGAAGAGGAAAACACACAAGTTTGGATTCTTTGAAGAAGTCTTTGACCAAAGGAAGGAAGGCGATTCCTCAAGATGACATTCGGGCCGCAGTGGAGGCATATCCGAACCGATTAAGGGCTGTTATCAAGGCAATCAAGGCTGTTATCAAGGCAAAGTTATCATATCGAATGATCTCTTGTTTCCTTATTTGTTACTGTTAAATAAAGCTATTTCTGTTGAAAAATCTTCTTCCAGTGAAACTTCTTGGTGTGCAATGCCTTGAGTATCTTGTTGCAATAATTATGACGCACCCTGTACAATAACTCTACTAGTTGGTACCTTGATGAGCTAACAGCCTTAGGTATTTTGAGTTTTAGATGAGGGAAATCTATTAAGATCAAAGCTATTAAGAACAAAGCTATAAAGGGAGGCAATCCAATCAAAACCGATATCGATCAATGAACTGAAATAAGCTTAGATGGCACGTTTTAGATGAAAGTTCTCATCGCTATTCACTCAATTTAGATGACAGGTGATTGTCCAACCACTCAAAACATCACAAATAGTTGTATTTGTGAGATTCTCGCCATTTATTTCTATCGAATCGCGATTCTGTTTCAAGTGCACAAATTGGAGAAAAGGGGAACATTTGAGGGTTTCGCGAGAGTTTTCATTTTTTCATGGTAAGTTGATCTCTTGATTTCCGTTTCCTTTTCCATATCGCATAAGATGATGATGATCGCAATAGATCTGGCCATGTTCATATCCAGTCCAGAGATCTAGATCTAAAAGGCCAAGTCCAGAGATCTAGATCGAGATCTAGAAGGCCAAGTCCAGAGATCTAGAGGGCCAAGTCCGATCTAGATCTAGAAGGCCAAGTCCAGAGATCTAGAGGGCCAAGTCCGGAGATCTAGATCTAGAAGGCCAAGTCCAGAGATCTAGAGGGCCAAGTCCGGAGATCTAGATCTAGAAGGCCAAGTCTAGAGATCTAGAAGGTCAAGTCCAGAAATCTAGAAGGCCAAGTCCAGAGATCTAGAAGACCAAGCCCAGAAATCTAGATCTAGAATGAGCCACTTTTAGGCTAGTAGCCGATTTGTTCGAGACTTTCGCCATCTTTTTCCATCACACTCTTCAACCAATGCGAACGATGGGAGCTTGCTTTATTTTAATGGTTCGTTGAAAACTTTCATCTCCTGGATTCATTCGCTAAGCCAACCTGTAAGATAAAATTCATGATTGCAAAATCTCTGGTATTGCACAAATTCCAGGACTCCATCATCGTCATCAGTAATCTCTATCATGATTTGAGCACAACCACGAAATATTCGCGTACGTTAAAGGCTTTCTGCATCAAACATCAACTTTATCTAGTGTTCTTCATGAGCTTCTTTGTCGTTTTTCTTGGTCTTCCCATCGTCGCGGTGTTGATTGATGTGGTACTTCATGAAGAGGTTGAAAATTGAATACCGTATTTCTTCGAATAGAAGACCGGGTAAAGAGTATCATCGCGTACTCCTGCGTAGCAGCCCTTTTTAAAATTTCTTTTCTGCATAAAAGCTTTCAATGAAGTGCTATAGGGCTGAAAAATGGCTCAAAAATCTGTTAGCTCATGTGGTATTTTTGAGCCATTTTTCAGCCCTATAGCACTTCATTGAAAGCTTTTATGCAGAAAAGAAATTTTAAAAAGGGCTGCTACGCAGGAGTACGCGATGATACTCTTTACCCGGTCTTCTATTCGAAGAAATACGGTAAGTCGCATAATTACTCCAAACTTGGGTAATTGAACCGAAACAGAAGCTCTCTGTCGCGCTATCCGAAAGGACCGTGTGCCAGATGCCGTTTTTTCCTACGAGACACACCAAAGGTACGCATAAGAGAGATTTTTGCACTGTGCGTACCTTTCGCGTGATTCATAGGGAAAAACAGCATCTGGCACACGGTCCTTTCCAATAGGGCGACAGAGGGCTGCCGTTTCGGTTCAATTACCCAAGTTTGTGATCGAGTTCACGGACGTTTCAAAAAGTGTCCTGGGGAATTTAGTACACCATTCTCGATAAAGGGACCTACCGTAAATACTGTAATTGGACCCACCGTACAGTCGCGTAGTCGAAAAAGTTTTTTAGTATTTCATTTTTTTCAAAGCGCTCGTACTTTCAAAAAATGCGTCTTTGGTATCAAAAAATAGCTGAAATTCAGGGCTATTTTTTGATACCTAAGCGCACATTGTAGCATAAACCAGTGTCGAGAAAAACTCGTTCAAAGCCAGACTACGCAACACTCCGCACCGTCATTATGGGGATGGGGTGCTATTCCAGTATTTACGGTAGGAATAATCGTTAAAATACTCAGATAGACAAGACTGACAAGACTTCGTATCCGAATAAACCCTTCAGGTGGCCCACCTTATCGCAATATCACTGACTTTCGCCGCCCAAGTGACGCTGGCCATTGGACGTCTCTCTCAAATTGTTGTCAACTTTTTGAAGTGATAGAGAAATTAGATTTAAGGTTTTTTTTCGTTTAGTAAACGAGAAATGGTTTTATCGATGTCAATGATTTTTTTGAATTCTTTCGCCAATGGGATTCTTTTGATCGTTTTTTATGAGCTCTATCAACACGAACTAAAGCTAAACTTTCGGTAAGTTGAGAGAAATTTTCAAAAATCTAAAATCGGTTTTATTATTTCAGAGTTTAAGCTTTGAATTTTCTAGTTTTTGGTTTAAATTTAATTTTAATTTTAATTTAATTGTAAACTAAAATTGATGGTGAAGAGAAGATAAGAAAAAAGATAGAAAAAAGATAGAAAACTCTACCGTATCTTGTCTATTCAAAGACAGATATGCCTTTGACAAATCCTTTAATCCTATAAGACAAATCCTGACCGGTAGGCTCTGTAGTTGACTTGGATTTAGCCACTCACAACATTGAAGAAGTCGATCAGATTATGACAAGACGACAAAAAAGACCTTTTCAATACCTGAATGGCTCAAGAATGCCATTTTTCAAGTCAAAAAGTCAAAAAGTCTGAGATGAAAGCTTTAAGTACCCTAAAGTCGCGAGTATAAGTTCTGTTTGGTTTTCGCATGCAAATTGACGGCTGTCTCCGGTGCCGTGTGTCGAGGGTTCGAACCCCGCTGCAGCATAACTTTTTTGCTTTTTAAGAACAATAATAGAAGTAGATTTATTGAGGGTTATAGCAATTTTATGCTGTTATTTGTTGCTCCGGGCGTGGCTCGGCCCTGGCCCTGGCCGTGGCTCGGCCCTGGCCCTGGCCGTGGCTCGGCCCTGGCCCTGGCCGTGGCTCGGCCCTGGCCCTGGCCGTGGCTCGGCGCGTCCGCCCTGCTCCTCTCCGGTGCTCAGTCTTATGGATCCCTCCCTGGCCTCTTCATCCGGCCAAAGTCCACGTCGACGGTCGAAAGAGATGCTTTCCAGCGGCTTCTTCAACACTATCGTCTGGATGTATCCATGCACATAACAAATAGCAATGGTGATAGGCTGTCACCCTGTAGTATCCCGCGCTCCAAGAACAATAATAAAAGTTTATATAACAATAAAAATGTATAAAAACCCAACAAAAAGAAATTCAAAGCAATTAAAGCCAATGTAAATTAAAGCAGAACTTATACTCGAGACTTTAGGGTACGTTAGAGAGGTTTCGTTTACAGTCTTGAGCACAAAAGGTACACTAAACGAAATGCGTAAACGTTTAAGAACGTTAGCCTAATCCTTTAGCCTTTAGCCTAATCTCCTCCTCAATTTGCGTTCTGATTTGGCTTCTTCTCGATGTGATTATGATGATTCAATGTCTGATGCACGGCCAACAATCACAAAGCGTTACGAATCCAGAAGTCCAGAATGAAAATCAATAATCTTTCAGGAAAAAAATGGATAACCAAATTTAAAGAGATAGGGAACCAAATCTAGAGAGATAGGGATAACTTACAGTAGTCTTACAATTCGAAATTGAATTCGAAAAAGTTTTCCAGTCAATTTTTTTTTATATTTTCATTTTTTACATGCTACATTCAAAGAGAATCTTTTTATCGATAATTAAAAAATGTTCCAAAATGTTTTTTTTTCCTAATAGACCTAATAAACAATGCTATTTTTCATTTCAACAATTCTTGCACAATGTTGAAACGATCAATTCATTGATCAATCAATCGATCAATGAAACGAATTCTACGCGTCCGATTATGAAAGATGATTAAAGGGGTACTCCGGTCCCAAAAGTGATTTTCTATTGGGTTGGTGAATTGAAAACTGCTGGCTAGTGTCATATGTCACAGTTTGAGCACTTTCTTCAAAAGAAACCCATTTTGGTGTCAATGGAAAAGTTGTAGAGAATCAAAAATTAGGCTTATAGCCAAATTTCCAAAAAGATACACTTAGTAGTTTCGCTTAAAATGCAAGTTTTATGAAAATTCGTAAATTTGGCATTTCTTGAAAACCAGCTTTTGAATCGTTCTGAAAATTTGGATATAAGCTTGATTTTTGATTCTCTACAACTTTTCCATTGACACCAAAATGGGTTTCTCTTGAAGAAAGTGCTCAAACTGTCACATATGACAATAGCCAGCAGTTTTCAATTCACCAACCCAATAGCTTGGCCAATGCTAGGCCAGTAATCAGGAATGGTTAACTTGGTAAGCTAGTAATCAGCTAAGCTAAGCCAGTAATCAGCTCTGCTTTGAATTCTGGCCTGAATATCTGCAGTTTTCAATTCACCAACCCAATAGATTGCTTTCCCATTTCAACACAAAATTTATCGCGTAAAACAATACTTTCAATTAATCTGACAAACAAATGATTTGAAAACGAAAAAGAAATCACGACGCGGCGCTTCCATCGACTACCTCCAAATGGCCGCGCTTCACCAACCCAATAGATTGAGATTAGCATTGATTTGCGGAGAAGTCAATGTCCAATTTGAGGATTCAGAGCCGGCCAGATTCGTTTGGCATGGGGATAGGGAAGGGGGTTATGTAAAAGCCCTGCGCCAGACGACGAGCGATTACGCGACCGCACAAAGAATCACAGAACACACAAATTTTTAGGTGGAAGTGTTTATTTTTGGTGTATCTTTTTGGAAATTTGGATTTAAGCTTGATTTTTGATTCTCTACAACTTTTCCATTGACACCAAAATGGGTTTCTTTTGAAGAAAGTGCTCAAACTGGGCTGACAGCTGACATCTCCAGTCTTCCATTTTTGAGTCTCACACTTGTCTCACACACAAACCAAAACCCTACCACGAAAGAGGAATCCGCAAATTGGCTGTAAAATGGGCAGAAGTCGTCAATAATAATGGTAATTATTTGGAATGAATTTATGGTTTTATGTTGAATAAATTTTAGTTCAAAGTCCGGCAGTTTTCAATTCACCAATTTCTTTATTGTTATTTATTGTTTAGCTGTAATTGAATAATTCTTTGCTATTGTGATCAGAAAGGAGTTGTTTAGGTGATTGACGCTAAACATTCAAAAGCCCTACATTTCAATCACTCAAGCACAAATTGATGATAAGATCGATATACGGTAATCGTTTTGATAATCGATAATCGTTGTGATCACGAAGGTCATCCCATAAAGTCTCCGAAAAGATTGTCACATTCAAGACGGCTAAATTGTTAGTGAAGATTCGAGTCTCAATTTATGGTCAAAGTTCATATTTTCCGTATTTTCCGTATTTTCCGTATTACCATTTTGTAACTTACATTCTTCTCAAAACAATAAATATTTAAATTTAAAAAGATTTTCTTATTAGTGGATTCAATGAGAATTCGATTAGAAAGCTATACAGAAACTTTTCCGATTTGATGTGACTACAGAAAGAATGGAAACCCATTGGTTTTACAAATGTATCAAAGGTGCAAAAAGTTGGCATCTGTCTACAACTGCCCTCGATGAACATTTTCTGTCGTTGAACCGTTTGCATTTGACAATGACATGTTGGTGTTAATTGACGAAATTTGAGGCTTAAATTGGAGAAAGGTATCAATGAAGTCAATATTATTGCAAGTTGAAGCTGCGAAAGCAAGTTTATTTGGTTTAATCAAAAAGGATAAATCAGAAATTAACTAGAGAAACACTTAAATGTTGAATATTTTCATTTCAGAATCTTCCCGGTGATCTTCTCGATGATTCGGTGAGTGAGACAAATTTCTGGAAATGGAACACGGCGAACGAGAATCAAGTCACTGTCACGCCGTTGAGTTGGCAATTTCGATTGCCCTGAACTTACAAAAAGCAGAACTTTTTCGAAAGTTTGAAGGAAATACTTAAAAGTTTATCCCTGAATATCCAAGTCACTGTGATTGGATCTCAACTCTTGCTTGTATTTGAATCTTGGACTTTGATCTATTACTTTACTTTATCTCCTCTAAAAATAAAAATCAACAACGGATAAGGTTCAAACAAAACAAAATTCTGAATAAATTCACGATCAAAAATCAACAACATTAAGCGTAAATAAACAAACATAAACAAACTTAGAAAGTCCTCAATTTTGAGATGCCAATGACTGTTGTCGTTTTCCTTTTTTTGCCTCCACCTCAGCAAATTTCGCGGCTTTTCTCTTCTTGTACTCGTCGACATTCTAAAAAGGCTTTTAAACTAATGAAAAGTCATTTTTTAGCGTCAAAGCCTTAAAATCTACCAGCTTTTTGAAAATTTACCTGATGCGTGACATTCTTGAAGTAGTTTATATCGGGATTTTTTGCCAATCGAATCGCCTCGAGAACGTTTGAATCAATGGCCAACTGGTGAGACTCTCCGTCGAACGAATGCACGGATAAACCGTTTCTAAAATTTAAAATGAAATGCAACTTTAATAGTACATTGATCTGATTACAAACTTGTACCAGTAAGTTAACGGATACTGACTTTTTGACTTTTTAAAAAGACACTGACGTATTTAATCCATAAATTTGTCTCGTTTTCTCATCAACATAGAATCCCATCAGTGGTGCGTCAAATTTGACTTGTTCTGCTTGTTGAAAGATTTGATCAAATGCGATCGAGGTGAGCGTCGAATCGTCTTCCAAAGAACTCCATACATTGAGTTTTCCCTAGAAATTCACAAAATAAGAGTGCAAATGAGTAAACTTATGATTTAAGAACTAAATCCCATGCCTTTATATTAAGCTTTGATCCTATTAAAGTCAAAAAAAGTAGAACTAACATTATTTTCTACAACTTGTAACTGTGAGATCGGCTTCTTGTCGTGCAATCGCTCAGAAACGGCGACAGTCTTCCCGGTGTCGAAATCGTGAATGTGAACGCGACAATCGCCACCTGAAAAACAATGAATAGATTATGCAGTCAGCAAAATCACGATACCTCCGCTGATCACATAGTTCTTGTAAATAGCCAAAGTCTTTACGTACTCTTCATGACCCAACGCGTACGCTTCAATCACAAAGGAATCGGGGTATCTTAAAAGGAAAATGTTCAAGATTCACGTTTAACTAGACCTTAAAGTTTACAATGTTCTCGTAGCTGAATACGTCTTAAAACTTTCTTTATACAAAGTCTAGAGCATTGAATGCCTTTTCCTGAAAACATTACATGCCTGCTGATTCGAATCTTTTCATCTCGATCCGCGGTGATCATCCGTCGACCGATTTCATCAAAAGCCACATCGAGCATCATTGTGATCCCACCCGTTAGCGGAATTCCCTCGAAATTCGTCTTTTCACCTAAAATTCAGCTTGAAGGAGCAAGAAAACTGATTTAAACCGTTGATATCCAACTTGTCATCGGAAAAGATTGCTTCGCTAACTCCGTACATTGTCACGTTTCCCGCCCGATCACCGACTATCTAAAATGACTTTAAATAATGTTTAAACCATTATAATACCTTGCGTTTCATTTTCTAAAATATGAAAGCAGCAAAAATTGCACATTTAACTTGTTGAATTTTACCATAAAAAGCTGATAACTTACCAAATGTTCTCCTTGTGGATCAAAAGTGATTACTGATGGGGCTTTTGGCACTCGGAATGCTCGCTTCATTTCAATCGATGAAGACAGGGAGTATATCAGACAAATCTTCGACGAAATCGCCACAGCAAAGAGTTGTCCGTCTCGAGAAATCGCTGAACAACACATCTAAAGGAAGGGATGTAAAAAAATTATTTGATTTACCTCAATTTTCTCCCCCTGATTCGTTCGAACGTTTTCCTCCAACTCGTAGGTGGTACGCACAAATGGGAGACTCGTTGATACCTCCGTCACATCGATTATCTAAATGAAATAATCATATCTACTTAAACTTTTGATTACATTAAGTTTTTTTGCAAAAACGAGCTTAAAACAGCTCATTAAAGCACATTGTTAACAAATTTTATTCATTCTGGGAATTTTATGTTTTCAACCAAAGGCATAAGCCTTTTGAGCTTTTATGACTTATGCAAGCCTAGTTAGACAGAGGTGGCAAAAGGGTCGCCTCCTGTCCCTCATCCGGTCCCCCAAAAATTTTCCGCTCCTTATATCCGCAGAATTAAGACCCAATCGCTCTCCATTCGCCCCTTTCTAGTTATAATTTTTCATTTTTTCAAGCTCGCCCCGCCCCTTAGTGTAAATTTGCACAAATTCACTGTTTTCAATAGGTTTAATTATATTTCCCCGCCTCTTGCAAAAATTTACAAAATCTCGCCCCGTCCCTTTTGCCACCTCTGTAGTTATGAATCATTTACCATATTTTGCTAAGCTGCAAGATTTTGTAGAGTGCATAAATTCTACCAAACCCTTATCTTTTAGCAAGAAAGTTGGGTACTAAGGCAGTTGGCGGGGGGGCACTTTTTTTTTCTTCAAAATCACTTTTTCTGGGGTAGTTTTATGCGTAGATTCCAAAAAAAACACAACGAGAGCTCGGGAAAAGGCGTTTCAAGCCGAGTTTCGGGACTCTAAAGTGCGCGCTTCTATAGTGTACTTCACTATACGGAGCTCAAGCTATCGACTATTGGGGCACTTTTCAAGGTCAAAACTAGAGCCAAAACCATTTTCAACCACTAAATATTCATTTTCTAACTTAAATTGACTGGTAGAAGCAAAATGAATTGGAAAATTTTTGAGATTTTGACTCATGGACAAGATTTTTAAAAAAAATTTTTATTTTGCTCCAATTTGATCATAAACGTAAACAATAGGTTTAATTATGCCAGAAAAAGTGTTTTTGGCTTTAAAAAATGTTTTGAGAGACCATTTTTAGACCTTTCCCTTATGTGCATCCCTCTCATCACACTGTATACACTTTGAAGCCCCGAAACTCGGCTTGAAACGCCTTTTCCCGAGCTCTCGTTGTGTTTTTCGGAATCTACGCATAAAACTACCCCAGAAGCAGTGGTTTTGCATGAAAAAAAAGTGCCCCCAACAGCCATAGTACCGAAAGTTGTGTTTGCAAATTATTTTAAACGAAATATACCTTATGTGAAGTCGTTTCCAAATCTTTTCCTTTTCGTTGAAGAAAGAAGAGCTTCGACGTGGCCGAGATGATGATCCATGAATCAGAAACGTTGAGAAGGGCCATTTCTTGAAAAATAGAAAAACATTATAAGGTTGGAGAGTTATCAAAGTTATAAAAAAGCAAATGTACTTAAAAAATGCTTATTTTACGGAATTCTTGAAACAAAATCTGGGGGTAGGCTAATTTCCGCAATTTTTTTTGCGCAACTGGGCCTGGGTCATTTACGTAACTCGCCATAACTTTCTTCTAAGTCGGCCAATCTTTATGGTGTTGGTTTCATTTTGTTGCACTTATTGAGATCTACAAAATGAAACCAAAATCGGAAAAATTGGTCGACTTAGAAGAAAGTTATGGCGAGTTGGGCAGAAGACTCAGTTGAGCAAAAAATTTGACGCAAAGTAGCCACCCCCGTCAAATAATGTCAACACTTTTAACACCGAGCTTCAGAATTTGCGTTTTTTAGTCAATTTAATAGCACCACAGTTGGCAAAAAGCAAAATTTTCAGTTTAAATCAAGGCAAAACCAAGCCAACGCAAATTTTAGGCCAAGTCAAACCAAAGCCTATGGAAATGGAAAGTTGCGGAAATAACCCTATTGCGCAAAAAAAATTCCCGGAAACTAGCCTACCGCAAAATCTGCGTGAAAAAACTAACCAATTAGCCTTTTTCAAATTTCTTTTTTTCAAAAGCCTTCAAATAAAAGTTATTCAATCAAACAATTGAAAATTCAAAAATTCTTATCAAGTTAGTGTCAAATAGAAAACGTCATTTTTATTTTTCGATCGCAAATCGTTTTCTATTTTGCACTAACTTTGTTAATTGCCCTAAATTCACAAATTATTAAGAAAATGTCAAATTACGTGTGGTAAATGTGAAATTGCTGTAGTTGGGTGCGGTGTAGCTACACACGACTACAATACACACCATCTGTCTCTCACCTGCAAGAGAATTGCACCGCGTGAGTGAAGCTCGATATTTTTTTTTATCTGTTTTCGCACTCAGGTGTTCCTATTTTGCGCAGATCACAACCACAGCCATTTCTCTATCCCTTGTTATTGTCATCCAGTGTTTCCTAGCTTGATTGTTCCTGGTTCGAAGTCTTCGACTTGCTTGTGCTGGTGGTGGTTGCACTCTAGCCATCCTTTCTCTGACCGTCTCTGCCACTCTTGTGCTCCACCTCGTTGCTGGTCTTCCGATGGGCCTCTTAAGCTCAATATTTGGCTTGATAAACCACTTTTTACTGATTTTTGAAATTACATTTCAAGATTTGGTACTTGTGGAGTATCCGGGGGGGTCTTTCAATATCCGGGGGGGTAAAATTTTAAGATCCGGGGGGGCAAAATTTTAAGATCCGGTGGGGTAAAATTTTAACTTTTTTATACTTTTTTTTTACTTTTTGACCATTCTGCTACTTTTATCAATCTTTTGCACCTTATCCTTTCAGAGTTTAAAAGAAGAACGAAAATATTGCTCATGATCTGATTAATGGTCTAAAGATCAATAGATTAACGCAAATTCCGTGAAATTTTACATTTACTTTTACATTTACATAGGCTTTGTAACTAAAAATAAAATTCTTGAGGCAAATGTTTAACCTTTTGTTAAACCCTTAAACTTAAACCTTTAAACTTATATCATTTTGCGTTAATTTTAGCGTTTTAAATAGAATTTCATCAATTTAGTGTGAAAATGTTTGCCGCCAACTAGGATATTATCAACATTTCTAATAATGACATAAAAAAATTTTGTAGAAGTTACGTTTTTGATCGAGTATCACCTCGAATCACGTAATCAAGTAATCACCTCAATAAATTGATATCTTTACATTTGAAGGGGAAATTGCCCCAAATCACTTAAGCGGCTGAATATCTTTAAAGGGGTCGTGTATAACGTATATAAAATTTTACCCCCGGTTCTTAAAATTTTACCCCCGGATATTGAAGCCCCCGGATACTCCACAAGTACCCAAGATTTTAATATTCTAGAATTTAGTTGTTGAGGTCTTTTGAAATTTACAGATTTATCTTTTCTTCTAAGCTTTTCTGCTAAACTTGCAACTACTAGCTTTGTTATTTTGTATATTTTTTGTTTTCAACTTTGTAAACATATTCTTTCTAGTGTACTTAAAAAGGATCTTTAGTGGAATGCGTTCAATAAAGATCAACTCAGTGGGCATCAATGCTGATCAGGATATTTTCTCAGTAGCCACCGATTCGGGAATTCGCTTATTCAATGTGAATCCACTGGCATTGCTTTCAAGTGTTAGTAAGGTAACGATTTAAAATCTATTTTTATAGCTTTATATAAGCTTTTGCTCTTTTATCTATTTTGCTCTACTACAGGTTGACAAAAAAAGCCAAATTCTAGGCCAAGAGTCAAGTTTTTAAGCGAAATTTGAACAAATTCAACAGTAAGCTTGAAATTTCAATTGAATGGCTCAATCAAATGGCTAAAGCCAATTGAAAGCCATAACGTTGACTTAACAGCCTTGTTTTTTTGGCTTTCTTTACCAGCCCAATGCCAGAGTAAATAACTTCTAAGCTTTTTACTTAAAGCTCAAGATATTCAGCTAAATAAGTAAACTATTAGGTTGACTGGTAAGTCTTTAGAAACTTTTTTCGATTAGCTAAATATTGAGCTGAAGGCTGTTACTTTAAACTAAAATCATTTTAGGACCTCGTCGGATCAGTCGGTTTCTGCACGATTCTCCACCGCTCAAATCTCATCATTTTCTCGGGGGCACCTGGCTCGAAATTCCCCTCAAATACAGTCTTCGTCTGGGATGATAAAGCAAAGGAATTGGTGTTGGAGGTGCGTTTAATTCATTTTTTGCCAGCATCACTTCAATAATGTCAACAATATTCCTTGATTCAATGTTTTTTTTTCTAGATTGCAGTCCCCGGCGGTGCCATTCTCAACATTTTAGCCTCATACACCCATTTGATCGTCGTGCAAGCAAGAAAACTACACATTTTCCAGGTTTTATAAATTATCGTAAGCTTTAAAAAGCTTTAGTTCCCCAATCCGTGCAAACTTTTGCGATCAGAGGAGGTTGGATTGAGTCAAAAAGTAGGAAAACCTTCAAAACAACAACTTTTTTGATTTTAGACGATTTGCGCTTTGAGTGCCGATGTCACTTTCCCTTGTTTGGCCTTTTCAGGATTCAAGGTTTGAATTGAATTTGTTGATTGGTGCAATTCGTGTAAAAGAGAACTAAACAACTAAAGAACTGAAGTATTATGTTTACGTTTAAGTGACAGTAGCCTATTGAAAAGGTATTCCAAAGTTGTTGTTGTTGTTGCTTTAGTTGTTGAAGAACTTTAAGATTATTCAATCAATCGCATTCTATTTTGGTATATTGAAGTGTAGTGAAACAAAACAAACAAAAAACAAATTGTACGGTAATGTAGTGAAACAAACTTTAGACGATAAGTCTAAAGTTTTAGGTTAGCTGATAAGTCTTTAGAAAATTTTTTCTATTAGCTTTTATAAATGACAAATTCACCAATTGACATACAATTGGCTCCATTAGAAAGGCCTATTATTTTTCGGTACTTTTCCAATGCCGGGGGAGCGAAAGGAAAATCGGGGGAGCAAATTTTGGCAGCGCTACATATATCCTATATTATACAAACTACCGCCATAAAATCCGCGAATTACCCGTTATTCTCACAACCTTTATATTAGATCACAAAAGTGACTTAAATATCTAACGCCCAGCTAAATAGATCTTTTCCCTTTGAGCGGACTTTCATCGATTCGCCACAGTTGCAAATCCACGACTGGATGACTCCTTTGGTGACGAAATAATCGATTGCCGTCGATTCCTTAAACACACAAATGTCGGAGAAGCGCATCGTCGTTAAAGTTTAAAAAAAAACGTTGGAGTTAAAATACAGTCCCGGAAATGCATTTTTCGAAGGGGCAAAATTTGCCCCCCGATTTTCCTTTCGCTCCCCCAATATTAGAAAAGTACCTATTTTTCTACAAAATAACGTTTGAATCTTATGAAAACGTTTTGTTTATTGTTTTTAGACTTATCGGCTAACCTAATATATTCAATTAGACTTTGAAAACGCAGTTAAGGGAAAACTTTACGATTTTTAGATCGGAAGCGTTCAAATTATGAGATTAGACAAAGTGTCGAGTACTCTGTCTCAACATTCGAAAACAGTAGACGCTCATCAGAATGAAATCGCTCATATGGCAATGAATAAGCAGGGAATGTTGCTAGCCACTGGATCGATTAAAGGAACTGGTTGGTTTCATTGTGAAAAGTTAATATAAACCTTAAAAGAAATCCTGGCCCTTGCGTAGTTTTCGGGTATTTTGAACGGCTTTATAGGCTTATAACTTTGTCCAGAGATAATATTTTTATTAACTTTTTATATCATTGTTCAGAGGACATTTTAGGCTTTCAAATGATATCAAATAAAGGTTGATTTGATTTTTCATTCTCATGCAAACAAGGCGAGTTGGATAGGCCTCATTTGCTTAGAGTTGGCTCTGATTTTCTTGGACACGAGTTTATCCAATCAAGCTTTATTTGGTATCATTTGAAAGCCTGAAATGTCCTCTGTACAATGATATAAAAAGTTAATAAAAATATTATCTCTGGAGAAAGTTATTGACCTTCAAAGCGTACAAATATCAAAAATTAATGCATTAAATGAGAATCTTTGCAGTTAATCGATTTCTATCTAGTGAAAAATCCTATGGCCTTTTTAAACGCTGTAAAGCTACAATACTAGTCAAAAATCATCACTTGAACCAATCTAAAATAAACTCTAACTTTAGTGATTCGAATTTTCGACACAAGAACTTGCGCGCCAATGTGGGAGTTTCGTCGAGGCACTGATCCAGCTGGATTGCACTGTATTCAGGTAATGAGAAACATTTTTCTATCATCTTAACCAACACTTTTCAGTTTTCCCCTTGTTCAACTTTCTTAGCCGTTTCGTCAGACAAAGGAACGATTCATATTTTCTCTTGTCGTGACTCAAAGAGTAATGTTGGCTCGACAAAGAAGAATTTGCTTCAACAAGTTTGTTTTTTTAAAGTTAAAAACGAACCACCTTCCATCCACAACTTTCAATTGAAACTTATAAACTCAAATTTTAATCTCAACAGTCCACTAGACTACTAGAGAAAATTTACATAGCTATGCAATTCTTGTTATCAAATTGAATTTAGTTCATGCCATCGGAGCAGCGCAGTATCGCTCAAATCAGTCTCGAGCCTCGTGTTCTCACATTGGCATTTGTGCCTGGTTCATCAACAAGAATCCAATCAATCGTTGCTCTCTGTGCTGGTGGCACATATCATCGGTAATTCATAACTAACTAGTAAACAATTTTTAAATTAAATAGTAAAGACGTGGTTGTAACAATTATCAGAGTTTCTTCAAAAATCCCATTCACTTTTTGCCCTGAACTGCCTTGGATTTGAATTTTTACAGAAAAAAAGTACACTTAGAATAAGCCGAAATTCTTTTCAGCTTCTCATTCGGCTTAGATGGTCACACAAATCGTGAGGGTTTCGATTATTTCATGCAATTGGGTGACGAGGAAGAGTTTTGGACGCAACCATTATGATCGTTTTACGAAATTTGTGCCTTTTTTGATTTTATTTGTTCTATTGTGATAAACTGCTCAGAAAAAAATGAAATGTAAATATGTATAATAGCTCGTGTACATTGTATATTGTTGTTTTCGAATAAATAGAAAAATAAATTTTTGACTTAAAAAAACTACCAAGAAACAAGGCCCTTTCACTCGAAAGGGTTGCCTTTCGAGTGAAAAGCAGCAGCGGTGCGTACCTTTGGTGTATCTCGTAAGAAAAAACGGCACCTGGCACACGGCTCTTTCTGATAGGGCGGCAAAGACTTCCGATTTCGGTTTAATTACCCAAGTTCGAGGTTAGACTTCAACGGCTTGGACAGACTTCAAAAAGTGTCTTGAGAAATTTGAGAACTCGTCTCCGCAAATGAAAGATTTAGTATGCCAGTAGCCTCTCAACTCGCCAACACTTACCGTAAACACTGTAATAGTACCCCAGCCCCATAATGACGGTGCGGAGTGTTGCGTAGTCTAGCTTTGAACGAGTTTTTCTCGACACTGGTTTATGCTACAATGCGCGTTTAGGTATCAAAAAATAGCTGAAATTCAGGGCTATTTTTTGATACCAAAGATGCATTTTTTGAAAGTACGAGCGCTTTGAAAAAAATGAAATACTGAAAAACTTTTGCGACTACGCGACTGTACGAGGGGGGGTACTATTACGGGGTGGAACAAATGCGACCTTTTTTTGCGCACCCGGCCAGAAGCGCACCTTTTTTTCGCTAGAAAAGGCCCGGAAAGGTCGTAGAGCTTTAAAAGTGTATCCACAGAGCGGAATCGTATGCGTAGATTCCGAATTTCGACAAATCAGACCTCGCTGACACGTCAAATTTGGGCTATAAGGCAAAAACTGCGGAAAAGCGTTAAGTTGCGTAGTTTTTGCCTTTTAGCCCAAATTTGACGTCTCAGCGAGGTCTGATTTGTCGAAATTCGGAATCTACGCATAGGATTCCCTTCTATGAAAACATTTTTGAAGCTCTACGACCTTTCCTAAGGCCTTTTCCAGCGAAAAAAAGGTGCGCTTTTGGCCGGGTGCGCAAAAAAAAAGGTCGCATTTGTCCCATCCCTCTATTACAGTATTTACGGTATGCTTTTAAAACCCTTGCCCATATTGCTCTTGGATAATGTTTGTTTTAGGAAAAAGCTAAAGTAACCCAAAGATCTATTTTTGGATTTAAAATGAATTAAGAAGTGTTGCCTCTTCAATTACACATTTATTGTTCTGTCAGCTCCGAGCCAAACTGATATTTTAGTTACTATTGTCATTATTGAATGACTTGTCTATTGTGGCAAATGTGTCCTCCCCTGTGCTTATCCCTTTTATTGCCGAGAAGGGGCGGTCCTTGGGACTGCCTAGGAGGATAAATGAGACTCTCATTTGGATTTGGAGTGATTTGGAGTTTGTCTTACCAATACCAATACGGTTCCAATACGGCTCCAATACGTTCCAATACGGTTCCTTTTAAGGTCCCTATACGGTTCCAATACTGTTTCCTTTTAAGGTCCCAATACGGTTCCAATACGGACCTACAATACGGTTCCAATAGGATTCCAATATGATTCCCCCTTCCCCTTACACTCATTTCTAATCTATTCATCTTATTGTATTACTGTAAATAAAGATACGTATCTTCCGGGTCTATGCAACTGCAGTACAGGTCGGTCATTTCACAGAGACTCCTCTCTAATACGTTGGAGGAGTTGAGTTGGGTTGTCGGTGTGTTAGAGATGGCGAGATATCAAAAAGGGATCCGCTCTCTTTAACTTAACCCAAATTCTAGTCCACATCCGACCTAGGAACGTATAGTTCCTCCCTTTAAAAAGACGATGCTTTATAAATAATAAAAGCTTTCAAAAGCTTCAAAAGCTTCAAAAGCAAAAGTTTATTTTGTTATTGATTCTTTTATTCTTTATTCTTCACTTGGCTTTCCTCTCATTAATTCTCCATGCATCATTCTATTTTAAGAGTTTCATTTGTTAAAATTATTTGACTTTCGAAAATTTCTTCTAAAAATTTCTAAAATTTTTCTAAATTTCTAAAAATCATGTTCAAATTTTTGATCATTTCATTAATTTTCGCTAGTTTTTCTTTTGGACAAGTAAGTTTGGCAAAGTTTTTTTTTTACGGCAAACGGCAAAGCGTTTAAAAACAAATCAGTAGACTTCGGAAAACAAAACTTAACCAAAACCAAAACTACCAAAACCAAAACCAAAACCAAAACCAAAACCAAAACTAACCAAAACTCGGCAATACCTCGCGACTGGGAGGAGCTAGCGAAAATCTGTTTGCAGATTTGAAATCAGCATCCAAAAATCTATCCCATAGGCTATTTTTTGTTTCGAAATTTCGAGGTCGTGTTTTGGTCCTTTTTTCGGCCGCGAGATTTTGGGGAGTGAGAAAAAGTGAAAGGCTAATTTGCATTTTACAATTTTAAATTTACATGTTAATTTATATGCAAATTGAGTTTTGGTTTGTTTTGGTGTTTTGGTTTTGGTTTTGTTTGCCGAACTCTACATTATCAGTATTCATAATCTCCTAGAACACTGGACAAACGTGTTGTCAGAAGAAGAATTGCAAAATTCCTCAAGAAAGTTGTTGCCATATGGGAAGAGCTGGCTGTAAATGTATCACTCCTCCTTTCACTTGTCCCTGGCAACAGGTTCGAGAAATGTAGGCTACAAATTACTGGTTTTAGGGAGGTCGCTTCTTTAAAGGTCGAGAGGATTACTTTGGAATCTATGAAGGATAAATGCTGAGAATAAAGTTTTTAAAGCAATTACTTGATTTAAAATAAAAAGTGAAAGAAGATTCATCAAAGATTCCTTTCTCATTCACTTTTAATATCTGCAATTTTGAAAAGACTTACCGTAAATACGGCTGCACCGTAAATACTGTAATAGTACCCCTCCCCTCCCCCCCCGTACAGTCGCGTAGTCGCAAAAGTTTTTTAGTATTTCATTTTTTTCAAAGCACGCGTACTTTGAAAAAATGCGTCTTTAGTATCAAAAAATAGCCCTGAATCTCAGCTATTTTTTGATACCAAAACGAACATTGTAGCATAAACCAGTGTCGAGAAAAACTCATTTTTTGGGGATTGTTGCGTAGTCTAACTTTAAACATCCCGTTCTCCGCGTTGCTTTACGCTACGATGCGCGCTTTGATATCAAAAAATAGCCCTGAATCTCAGCTATTTTTTGATACCAAAACGAACATTGTAGCATAAACCAATATCGAGAAAAACTCGTTCAAAGCTAGACAACGCAACGCTCCGCACTGTCATTATGGGGATGGGGTGCTATTACAGTATTTACGGTAACAACAATAACAATAACAAAATTAACAATTGTCACAATTGGTTTTTATAACAATTCCTTTCTTGGGTATACCCTTCTTCAGCTCGCATTCATCACAAAGCTTGACAAAAATTTCAATAATCTCCTTTGTTATTCCATGATGGTCGCGAAGTTCCTTCCACATAATATCGCGTTCAGCACATCGTAGCATCGTAGCATAAACCAGTGTCAAGAAAAACGCGTCCAAAGCTAGACTACGCAACGCTCCGCACCGTCATTATGGGGGTGGGCTACTATTACAGTATTTACGGTAAGCACCTAAAAAGCCAGGTGCCGTTTTTTTTTTACGAGACACATGAAAGGTACGCACAGTGTTCGGTACTCGAATAAAGCTAGCATTTAAAACAAATCGTTTTCCAAAACGTTTCAACTTTCTGAAAGCTACTGTAATCTGAATGTATTATGTATTTGTTCAGGAATCACTTGAAGCGAACATTGGCGGATTGTCTCTTTCATTAAATTATCAACAACAAATCGCAAATGCTTTCGATTTTCTCGGTAAAAATACCGTATTTTCTCTAATAAAAGTTCACAGCGAGCCGAGTTGGTGACTATTTTACAGTATTCGCACGTATCTCAAGACCAAAATGACTCCTAAGAAGAAAGAAACACGGGGCCGGAAGAAAAAGTTGACCGATCAAGACGAACGCGCAATTACGAGACATCTTTCCAACACGACGACATCACTCGAAGAGTTTCAGTTTTGAGATACGTTCGAACACACTTCTCAGAACGTCCAATGCAACGAGCAATGCCCCTGTTTGAGTGGTCAAGCGTGTGAAGAAAATCAAAATTTGGTCCGGAAGCTTAATCTCCTTGCGAACCTCTTCGAGTGATGTCTCGTAATTGCGTGTTGGAAAGATGCCTCGTAATTGCAAAGAGATGAAGCTTCCGGACAAAATGTTGATGTGCTTCACACGCTTGGCCACTCAAACAAGGGCATTGCTCGTTGCATTGAACGTTCTGAGACGTATGTTCGAACGTATCTCAAAGCCAAAGTGACTCCTAAGAAAAATTTGATCGATCGAATTGTATCTTTATCTACTTCTGGGCTGATTTTGATATAAAAAGAATAGAACTAAATAAATAGACGAATTACGGTAGCTTTTTAGATTATTATCAATCTTTTTGTCTAAGTCAATCTTTTTGGCGAGCTAGACTTTGCCTACCAAAGTTCGAGCTGAAGAGTGGTTGACGAAAAGAGGCTTACTACCGTTTTTTCTCTAATAGTAGTGCATCCTGGCGAGCCGAGTTGAACTATTTTACGGCTTTCAAAGTTTTCACAGAAGCTCAACACTCTAATCCCCCACTAGATCTCATCGTCAGCTACATTTTTCGACCCCAGATCGATAGGTTCTGATAAGCGGTTCTAGAGATTTCGAGGAATTTAGGCGACGTTCAGGGTGCACTACTATTAGAGAGAATACGGAAATCCATCTAGTTTAATTGCATTCAATCCAATACAAGCCATTCAGCCCTTTGAGAAATTTGCTGCAAATAGAGAAAAGCCATTTTTTCTGGTCGAGATGGGGAATAAATGAATAATATGTCTGGAGAACAGTTTATTAATAAAAGTTTACCTCAACACACAAATCAATTCATTCAATTATCAATGAAGAGCCGCCACTATGCGTACCTTTCACGTGGCTCGTAGGAAAAAACAGCATCTGGCACACGGCTTTTTCCTATAGCGCGACAGCGACCGCCAATTTCGGTTTAATTACGCAAGTTGAAGCTTAGCGTTAACCCACAAGCATTGCTAAAGTGTCTTAACAAATTTTGGAACCCGTCCCCTAAAGAGGGGATGCACAAATTAAATTGGAAAAGTCTGTAAAATCGGGACCTAGTCAAAACAGCGCCGTTCAAAACAGCGCCATTCAAAACAGCGCCAAATTTAAAGATTTTAATGTAGATTAACCAATGCTCTTTTGGAGTTTTCCATAAAGGCTTTATTTTCTCGTGCATTCTCAAGTAAAATAGTACATAAAAATTTGTTTATTCAATTAACGAAATGAAAAAATGAAACAACGGAGTTAACACATATCAATATAATAACATAAAGATTTTAAATGATACCAAAATTTTGCAGAAAAGTGCAAAAGCTGGGGGTGGGACAAATGCGACCTTTTTTTTGCGCACCTGGACATTTGCGCACCTTTTTTTTGCTGGAAAAGGCCTTAGGAAAGGTCGTAGAGCTTCGAAAATATTTCCATATAAGGGAATCGTATGCGTAGATTCCGAATTTCGACAAATCAGACCTCGCTGAGACGTCAAATTTGGGCTAAAAGGCAAAAACTACGCAACTTAACGCTTTTCCGCAGTTTTTGCCTTATAGCCCAAATTTGACGTGTCAGCGAGGTCTGATTTGTCGAAATTCGGAATCTACGCATACGATTTCCTTATATGGAAAAATTTTCGAAATATTTTTGAAGCTCTACGGCCTCGCCTAAGGCCTTTTTCAGCAAAAAAAAGGTGCGCAAATGTCCAGGTGCGCAAAAAAAAGGTCGCATTTGTCCCACCCCCCAAAAACTGGCTTAATCAATCTTATTACATTTATTTAAGATCAAAGAAACAAAGTTATTACCTCATACAAGTAGAACTTCTTCGCAAACTATATTGCGTGAAAAGTACCTGTGTTTGTCGCTAGCCACGCCGAATCACTTGCAAGGAGTCTTCTATTTCTTCAGGCGACGTTCTTTTACCTAAAAAAACAAAAAACTAAGTCTTGGGAACAGAAAAAACAAGAAAAAAACGATGAAAAACAAAATGTGTCGCATTGTTTATTTAAAATGGGCCATAAAACCTGATTCTGATGATGAAATAATCTGTCGGTTTGTCAAAACACGCGCAAGGTGCTTAGAAATGTTTAAAAAATAACCAAAGTTACAAGTTCTGATGAGAAGTATAAAAACATTGGGGTTGAAAAATCTAATCGCAGTCTCTTTCAATTTGGCGCTATTTTTGTATGGGCGCTGTTTTGAACGGCGCGATTTTTGTATGGGCGCTGTTTTGAACGGCGCTATTTTTGTACGGGCGCTGTTTTGAATGGCGCTGTTTTGGCGGCGCTATTTTGACTAGGCCCCGTAAAATCAATGTCCTTTTAAAAACTTCATACAGCCAAATTTTCACTTAACAATTTCTGCGTGGTTTCCGAAAAGAAAATTTTTTTTAAACTATTATCGAAAAGTTAGTGTTTTACGCTTAAAATTTTAATGCTTTATTCTAATCAAACTAACGGGAGTGGGACAAATGCGACCTTTTTTTTGCGCACCCGGACATTTGCGCACCTTTTTTCCGCACTTGGCCCATTAGCGCACCTTTTTTCGCGTTTTAAAAACGCTCTAAAAGCTAATCTTAACCAATTTCTATTCCAAAAGTTGCTTTTCTAGGTAATTTGAGGGCGTAGAATCGAAATTTTGGCATATCAGAGCTTGTGGAAGCGAACGGACGGAGTTATACAAAGAGAAAAATGTTCTGTAATTGTAATCAACAATTTTCTGTAATTTGACCTAGGCGTTTTATCTTTCAAATTGGTTCCACACGCTCTGATATGCCAAAATTTGAATTCGACACCCTCAAATTACCTAGAAAAACAACTTTTGGAATAGAAATTGGTTAATATTAGCTTTTAGAGCTTTTTTAAAACGCGAAAAAAGGTGCGCTAATGGGCTAAGTGCGGAAAAAAAGGTGCGCAAATGTCCGGGTGCGCAAAAAAAAGGTCGCATTTGTCCCACTCCCAAATTAACTTTTTATTTAATCGCTTTTCACTTCACTTAATCGCTTTTAATTTTATCATTTAGATTAAAATCATTAGTCGAAAGCGGCCAAGACGGGGAAACTCAACGAGTATCGATGAATAACAAGTGAGCTTTTTTGTGAAAGCTTGAATTTTTGTGAAAGATTTCTTTTATGGATAAAAACATTTGATGGAAGTTAATCAAAACAGTGCCGGGTAAAATAATGCCTTTGCCGTTAAGTTTCTTTGTGTTTCTTATTTTCATTGGATGTAGAAAGAAAAAATTAGCTGTTTGTTGAATTTTTTGAAGCCGTTTAGAACAAATCTAGGATCAGAAAATGCCAAAAAACAAAAAAGGGCTCAAAAAGAGGTTAACTGCGCTTTTCTGGACATTAATTCTGTTTTTAGTGATCCCAAAGTATGCAAAATGTAGGTAATTTTATTCTGCATCTAATAAGAATAAGAAACACATAGAAATTTAACAGCAGAGGCTATTTTTGCCGTAGCGCCGTTTGTACACGGCGCTGTTTTGATCAGCTCCGTATTTGAAAGCGTCGAAGTCGATGTTTTTGCTTATTTTCATCTAAAAAGCGTAGTGTTTTTGTAAAAATGTAGTTTTATAATTGTAATTTTATAGTATTCTTATTTTTTGATTAGCTTTTGCTGCTTCATTTTCAAAACACATAAAAACTTAACAGCAGGGGGCTATTTTTGCTGTGGCGCTGTTTGTACACGGCGCTGTTTTGATCAGCTTCCTATTTGAAAGCGTCGAAGTCGATGTTTTTGCTTATTTTCATCGAAAAAGCGTAGTGTTTTTGTAAAAATGTAGTTTTATAATTGTAATTTTATAGTATTCTTATTTTTTGATTAGCTTTTGCTGCTTCATTTTCAAAACACATAAAAACTTAACAGCAGAGGGGCTATTTTTGCTGTGGCGCTGTTTGTACACGGCGCTGTTTTGATCAGCTTCCTATTTGAAAGCGTCGAAGTCGATGTTTTTGCTTATTTTCATCGAAAAAGCGTAGTGTTTTTGTAAAAATGTAGTTTTATAATTGTAATTTTATAGTATTCTTATTTTTTTGATTAGCTTTGGCTGCTTCATTTTCATTTTAGAATCATGATCCCTCCAAATGCTCGTGTGATCGATGTTTTTCCGCGTCCCGATTTGAGCCGTCCACGATGGGATCAAAATACTTACAAGGGAAGGTGCGGAAAGTTTTATTGCTGTTTCTAGAAGCTGTTTAGATGTAGCTGTTTCTTGAAAATGCAGTGTTAGTAGCACTGCCAGCAAAGCGTTTTAACAACTAACAAAACATAGATGTTGTTCAAAACATAGATGTTTAGAATGAATCAGAGTGTGTGATTGTTTTAAAAACATCGATACTTATTGAAAATCGATAAAGATTTGAGCTTGATAGCACTTGGGCTAACTGAGCTCTTCTAAAAAGTCAAGCTCTGACGATTTTTACGGCTTTTAGATCATTAAACCCTTGAAATTGCATAAAAATGGATAGAATTTTAGGCTTTGACCCATTTTTTACTCCTTGGCTTGCTCAGTTCCAAATAAGTCTTGGCTAGATGGCTAACATAGCCTGTTTGCATACAATTCTTATATAATTTTCTTGTTCAGAGCTCTTCATTTCTTCACAACGGTCAACCCGATGAACATCTTTGTGACGTCATCAAAACTCGAGCAATGTCGAGAGATTGTTAAAAGTTACAGGTAGCTTTTTGAAACTATGTATTTTGCAGTAGATTTGTTTAGGAAAGGCCAAATCGATTCATCGATAACGGTCGAGGAATTGTGGAAAGCGAAACATCTCTACGATTCGGCTTTTCACCCAGACACCGGCAACAAAATGTTCTTACCGGGAAGGATGAGCTTTCAGGTAAATTTGAGGCTTGTTAGAGTAAACTCAGCATTAGCAATAGCAGTAATTTAGTTTAGGCATTAAACATTGAACAACATTAAACAAACATTGGACAGATTTTTCATCACTAAAGTTTTCTTTTTAGGTTTGGGGCAATATGGTGATCACCGGTGGAATGTTGACGTTTTATCGCCGCTTTCATCACGTTATCTTTTGGCAATGGGTGTGTGTCATTGTTGAACTTTGACATACCAGTTGTGTTAAAAGAAAAATGATAGATGACAAAGAAACTTGTGCTTTAGGGCTACTTATTTGCAATCTAATGTTTCTGTTATTTTTAGATTAATCAATCGTTTAACGCGGTGGTCAACTACACAAACCGGTCGGGTTCACATGCGGCATCGGTGGGGATTTAAAGTTAATATAGAACTTAAATAAATTTGGTATTGCTGGAGTTGTTGAACTTTTACTTGACCACTATATTGTTAAAGATCATTTTAATTGTCTCAATTTTAGACGAAACACCTCTTTGTGTCCTACTGTTGCGCAACAGGATCGGCTCTCTTCGCCGCTCTCTATTTGAACTCTCTTGTCAAGGTGTGGTACTTTTAAATACTGATTGTATATTTTAAGCATTCCCACTTTCAGGATCAACATAGTCTTCGTGGTCGACTCGTCCCGTTTGCTGCAATTGCCATCGCTAATGTGGTCAACATTCCAATAATGAGGAGCAAGTGAGTAAAGTTTTTTTCTAATAAAACTTTCTTATAGTTTCCTGATTAACCATTTAACTTAACTGCTTTAATGTGCACCTTTTTAGTGAATTCTCCGATGGTATCCCTGTGGAGGATCGTGAGGGAAATGTGCTTGGTGAATCGAAACGAGTCCCCCAAATGGCCATCCCACAAGTTGTATTGTCGAGGATCGGAATGACGATTCCGAGCTTTAGTGAGTTTATTTTTTGGTGTAAAACTTCTAATGTTCTTTTTTAGTCGGCATCCCGTTAATCATGAACATCATTTCGCGAAAGGCGTGGTACAAAGTGAATCTTTGACTTTTAAATAGAAATTTAGTTCTTAAAGCTTGACAATTTTGTGAAAACATGCATGTTTTGACAAAAAAGTTTATACAGTTGGAGAACTTTGTTGTTTCAAATTTCATCTTTTTAGTCGCGTTCCTGGATCTCGATTCCAATTCAATCGGCATTGGCTGGCTTTTGTCTCACTTTTTCCACTCCACTCGCCTGCGCGCTTTTCCCGCAAAAGAGCAGTATCAAGGTAATCTTTTGAATGCTCTTTAAATCCTATAATAGTTGACACTTCGTAACTATTTTATTTTTCGGATAGTTGGATAAATTGGAGTGGCTTTTAAATAAAAAATTGAGCACTTTACATTTCTCCTTCTTTCAGGTGTCACATCTCGAGCAGGAACTCCGCGAGAAAATCGCTCTCTTGCCACACCCACCCGAATACGTCTACTACAATAAGGGACTCTAAATGGATGGAAATTATCGAGATAATTGATTGTGTTTCTTTTTGTTTGTTTGTTTGTTTTTTTTGTTGTTTTTTTCTTGTTGTTTGTTGTTGGTGATAGATTGTTTAGGGCGATAAATTTGAAGTCAACAGAGTGCAAGGGAATACATTTTTCGAGCATCAAATCAATACTTCTAATTTTGCTTATTCTTGTTGTTTTTGATTTTGTCTCCGAACTACAAAAGGAAACGGCTCTTGATCAATTAACCTCTAGAAGTGATTATTTTCCGGTGGAATGAACTGATTTATCAGTATTTGGATACTATTCAAAGTATTGATCGGATCCAATTGGTTTATAAAGATAAACCTTGCTTTGTGCATTCCCTTCAAGGGAACGCGTTCCAAAATTTCTCAAAGTCTCTGGGTCAATGCTAACCTTAAACTTGGGTAATTCAACCGAAGCGTGAGGTCTCTGTCGTGCTATGTAAAAGGGTCGTGTGCCAGATACCGTTTTTCCCACGAGACACACCAAAGGTACGCACAGCGATAAAGGGTCTCCTTTTTTGCCTATTTCAGCTCTCTACATGATTAACTAATTAAATAGCCAACAATTATCTATGTCTATTTATTCAGTTCATAAAAAAATTAGCACAAAAATGAGAATTACGATAGTTTGGGTTAATACAAAGTGGGCGTGGGTGAGAACCTGAATGATGCTCGGATGGGAGTCTCAAAAGAAAACACGTATTCATCAAAATATTCAACAAAAAATACGGTAGTTTTTGTTTTAAATGCAAATTTTGTCGTCAAAACTACTGTATTTCGACGTAAAAGAAGCTCAAGTGCTTTCAAAAAATGCGAAAATTGTAGTTGCAAAAAAAATCATCGGACCAGTCACGAAAATTGACCAGTATTTGCAATTGATTATCGGAAAAGTGAGAAAATGAGAAAAAAATTGAGGTTAATGAGATTTGGGGGAAAAGAGGTAAAGAAATAAACATTGAGAGAATGCAAAGTAAAGTAAGAAATCGAAAAACCGGATTCAAAAATTGGGAAACGACAAGGAAATGATTGGCCAACTCTAGCTCGTACTTTGTGCTTTCCTAAATGCTCAGCTTCTGGCAAATTATTTCATTCATTAATGTTCAGTGCACCAGAAAGTGTTGCTCACCAAAGCTGTACTTTGTGCGCCCATAAACGCACACTTTCTGGCTCACTGGATACACTGGATAAAATTGGTTAAGTGCGCCAGAAGACTTGCGTTTACGCAATTTCTGATAAACACACACTTTCTAGCACAGTTGATGGGTTATTTACGCAAAATGGGTGTGCCAGAGAGTGTGTGGTTGTGAGAGCACAAAGTACACGAGCTAAAATGATAACTTCAATTTTTTTCTTGTCGTTTAAAGTTAAAATACGTTTTGGAAACAACACAGGCAACAAATTTTTCGAGTTATAAAAGGTTTAGCTCACAAATCGTACGTTTCTTTTATTATTTTGCGCAATTTCGGGAGCTTTCTGTTTTCGGATTAGACCCCGATCGGCATCCGTTTTCGCCTGAATACCTTTTTATATCTAGATAATTCTCTATATTTAAAACTAGATACCGTATTTCTTCGAATAGAAGACCGGGTAAAGAGTATCATCGCTTACTCCTGCGTAACAGCCCTTTTTAAAATTTCTTTTCTGCATAAAAGCTTTCAATCAAGTGCTATAGAGCTGAAAAATGGCTCAAAAATCTGTTAGCTCATGTGGTATTTTTGAGTCATTTTCCAGCCCTATAGCACTTCATTGAAAGCTTTTATGCAGAAAAGAAATTTTAAAAAGGGCTGCTACGCAGGAGTACGCGATGATACTCTTTACCCGGTCTTCTATTCGAAGAAATACGGTACGTAAATTTAGATATTTAATTTATCACCAAACCTCTTTCTCTATCAGCCGCGCTAAATCCGAGTCGACACGGCCGAATGGGCGCTTTATCATCGCCTAAATGTTATCAGATGATGATCACAAAAACTATGCACTGAAATTTGATTTTAATTCGAGATTTACTCACCCTGGAGCGCACATCTTCGATATAGAGATAGGCGATAGCGATCAGAATCAAAACGGAAACCCCAGCCAGCACTGAGGCCACAACGGTCACCCATTTGGAGCCATTGGACTCTTCCTGGAAATGGTTATATGCTATTTTTTAGCTATATAAACTATTTAAATAATTACATATAGATTTTAGATACATCTAGTCATCAAATATTAAAAGCTCACTTCAACTTTTGGACACGCAAGCGCTAGACATCCGATCGTTCCATCGCCTACATCTGATTCGCCGAGTTTATCCAACCATGAACCCAACCATTCCTCCTCGCAAACGCATTGCCAACGATTTTCTGAGCATTCCCAGGTTTTTTGAACTTTAAAATTTTATTTTAACACTTACCGGTGATGTCAATTTGCTTCAAAACGGTTAAATCGATGTCATCAAAAGTTCCCTTCGGCAAATGGGTGAGACGATTCGAGTTGAGATGGAGACGTTCAATGGAAAGACCACGGAAAGTGCTCGAGTCTATCTGAAACGAATTTTGAAAGAATTAGATCATTTTAAGACTAAAATTTGGCTCAATTACCCAACGTGGTCAGCTTTCAATTGCTTATGGAAAGGGCCTGGCTGGGTAATCAAATCTAACCTTTGGCTACAAAACAATCGTTTCATTTTCAAGAATTCAGAAACAAACTCACATGTGCTAGTTGATTATTGTCGAGTAGAATGACACGGAGAGATTTCGGGAGTTCTCCCTCATGAAGTGCATCCAAACGATTCCCGGAAAGGATTAAAACGGAAAGGTGACGAAGTGGGGAAAGTGCGGCCAAACCATTCGAGGATAGACCTGGAATGGAATTGTTGACATCTGAGAAGACATGGGAAATGTAAACTGTCAGTCTGACAACTTGACCAGACTTGGTTGCTTTAAAAAAAACTGCGTCAATCGGTTGGAATCAGTCTTTTGATTTAATTTGGAAGTTTTCCAAAGCTTGCCAAAAATTGCCGAAACTTTGCCGAGTCAAATTTGCTCATTGAAAAATGCTCACACTTCGACTACGCATTCCTTTTTACATTATGTGAGTGATGGTACCAAATCATACGGTTAATTTCTATATCCTCACTTGATAGCTGGTTCATCTGCAGAGCGAGACTTCGAATCGAAGTGACATGCTTGAAGGCATTTCCCCCAATCACTGTGATATTGTTCGAAGCCTAGGATACGGTAAAGATATTTATTTTGATTATAGCCTACCATTGATACTGTATCCAATCTGGGTGAGGTGGCAAGACCCCTAAAGCTGTCATCTTCGATTTCGGCAATCGTGTTTCGATCGAACGAGATGTAGACCAAAGAGGGAAGACTTCTAAAGATAAAAGGCTATTTTTACCGTTCAATTGCTGTGCGTTTCAGGACCACACTCACTTACCTCAGAACAACGTTTTTCAGTGTTTGGATAGAGTTATTGTTGAGGATGAGCTTCTCGAGCTTGTCAAAGCCTTGGAGATCGACGGAGGAGATGTGATTCCGGCCGAGATCGAGAATCTGAAGATATTCAATTGATAAACTGCTAGAGTGCTTAGTTCTTGATGGTATAGATTTAAAACAAACCTTGAGTTTCTTCAGATTTCTGAACGCCGTCCAATCAATGCTCGAGATTTGATTGTTCTGCAAGTAAAGCTCCTCCAAATTCTCCAAGCCTTTGAAAGTGTTCCTAGAAGATTTTTGGTTTAGATTTTCTTTGAGTTCACTTTTTTTGCATAAAGGAATACTGTCTGGCACATACTGGCCATTAGATCACTCAAATTTTGATATCATTGATCAAGCCTTGTGATTTCTCATCAAATGATACAAAAATTGGGCTGATTGAAGGAAATCTAGCTGATTGGCAAGAGTTTTCTAGAGTAAGTAGGAAACGCACTAGCCGACAAGGAAGAGCTAAGTGCGCCGGATGAGGTTTTTTTACACTTTTTAAGCACAAAGTACATCGCTACGATGCTCAAGATCTACTAGCGCAGAAGGAAATTGTTTTAAACTAACTTGGTGATCGCTGTGATCTGATTATTCTGAATGGAAAGCACTCTCAATTGAGACAAATTCTCGAATGATCCCTCTTCGATTTCTCCGATTCCATTCTCGTTCAACAGCAATTCCTCCAATTCGGCCACTTTTTCAAAGTCGGCTGAGCGAATTTTCGTCAACTTGTTGCCTAAAATGTTTGTATTTTAATTCAAAATTAACATCTCTAGATAAATAGCTTCATTTCTAAACTCAAAGCATTTTATTCTTGTAAAAATATACCGCTCAAATCGAGGATTTGCAGATGATCGAGGCCGGTGAGCATCTCGGGATCAAGATTCTAAAAATTGAATGATAAAAGGGTTTTAAAATATCCAAAAATATGTAAAATGATTAGAATATAGAAATTTTGATTAAAAACTTATACTAGAATCCAGTACTTTAAATAAAAAAGCTGTTTATTCAGCCAGTTTTCAGGTATCAAGTAACAAACTACAATAAGTAACTTACAATTACGTCTATTTTATAGATAAAAATTAGCTAACAAGCGTTTTTAGATAATATTTATGTATTTTTTTGATCCGAACCTTTTTCATCGCATTATTCCTCAAGCGAAGCTCTTGCAGTCGTGGCCCGATCACAGTGAATGTCCCCTTTCGAACGATGTTCACCAGTGAGTTCTCGATGATCAGCTTCTTTGGTTTCACCTAAATATTTGAATATTTAATGGGTTTATAATGTGCTTTGTGCTAAAACTGTAAACGTTCTCTTTCTAGTGCATTGGCTTCTTCATTTTTCTCGCAGAATGACTCAGAAAAATGATGAATTCAGTGCGTTTGCATTTTTGAGCTCAAACAAAGATAACGTTAACTGTTAAAACTCACTTTTTCGAACATTTCCGCTGGAATGATGTCCAATTGACTGTCCCAGATGTGGATACGGTTGACGAGGGTTTCGTTGAGTGAGCTAAAATTATTTGAAAATGAATCCTGATTAAGAGCTAAACTGACCCCAATTCACTGAACACGGCTGACATCGATTGACCCGTGCATCCAATCCAAACGTTTTGATAGAATTCTGGCACGAGTGGGTCGATTAGACATTTGCATGAGACCTGAAAAGAATTTTTTATAAGAAATCACAACTTTATAGACAAATGATAATTCTACGCAACCAACCGGTCCATTCTCACTGGAGGTTTTTCGGAAAGTCTCATCGATCTTCTTGCACGGATCGGCGTTGATTGTCGACAAAAGGAACGCGACAAGAAGTGCCCTTATTGGGGCGATCATTTCGAAGAAGTGACCAATCACACTGAAAAAGAGATTTTGCGGATTCTTTGAATTTTTGGAAAATGAGTGAAAGCTAGTTAATAAAACAAGATGACTAATGATAAAATGAAGAATGTCGAAGCGTCAATGAAGAGTTCGTCGGCAAGAAAAATAAAAAGTGTACAAAAAATGATTGCCAAGATTGGTCCATGGCGAAAATAACAAGTTTAACAGGTAAATAACAGGTAAATAATAGGTAAATAACACGTAATAAGCTTACGGTATAAAGTTTAAGAATATTCGCAAAATAGACGGCTGAAAAAACAAAAAAACAATTGCAATATCAATCATTGAAATCAAATCAAAGAATTAAATGCCAAAGATTAATGAGTTGAACATTTTTCGTTAGGGGAACTGTAGCTAGGCAGGATATGAAGGCTTACGATAGTAAGATTAAGAATTTTTGCAAAGTAGACAGCTGAATATCGATTAAAGGTATGCCGGGGTAAGATTTAATAGAACAAAATATTGTATCTGGCAAAATCAAAAAATTTCTCAAGGTTAGAGCTATAAAATCAATGCAAACAGCTCCAATAACTCGGAAGAAGTTTAAAAACAATTGCACAACAACACTTGAACGAAAATCGTTTCTATTGACGGGTTACGAAAAACTTCGATCGGTGCCAGGCATGGGTGGACGGCCGTGCCAGGCAACGAGACACTATGAAATGACGATTTCTATATGGCCGCTTGTCGCATTTTGCGGGGTCCCAATTTTTGTGCGGTGCTATGCTTTTTTTCAGCCAGCAAAGTTAGATTATTGTTTTTTCTTTAGAATGCTAAATATCTTTTTGTATTTAAGCTTTAGGAGATTCCTTTGTGGCTTAAAATAAAAAACTGGAGAGTGGGACAAATGCTACCTTTTTTTGCGCACTTAGCCCATTGGCGCACCTTTTTTCGCGTTTTAAAAAAGCTCTAAAAGCTAATATTAACCAATTTCTATTCCAAATGTTGTTTTTCTAAGTAATTTGAGGGTGTCGAATTCAAATTTTGACATATCAGAGCTTGTGGAACCAATTTGAAAGACAAAACGGCTAGATTACAGAAAATTGTTGATTTGTCTTTGTATAACTCCGTCCGTTCGCTTCCACAAGCTCTGATATGTCAAAATTTCGATTCTACGCCCTAAAATTACCTAGAAAAACAACTTTTGGAATAGAAATTGATTAATATTAGCTTTTAGAGCTTTTTTAAAGCGCGAAAAAAGGTGCGCTAATGGGCTAAGTGCAGAAAAAAAGGTGCGCAAATGTCCAGGTGCGCAAAAAAAGGTCGCATTTGTCCCACTCCCAAAACTGACCGTTTTTCACCCTTCTTAACGTTATATAAATAGCTTTTATTCGAAAACTGGCTATCTTTTAAAGATTGGCTTGTAAATTGCTCACTTAAAACCTCTAAAATTTGTCTTTAACCCACACAAACAAAGATTTTCAGCTTTTCAAAACAATGTCTTTGTCTCAAAGAATTTCCTATAAAGTTTGCAATTTGCAAAAATTCCTCGTTTGCAAAATGTCACTTTCCAGCATTTTCCTAGCAAAAGTATCCTGTTTTCACTTTTCTTTCTTTGTTCATTCATTTTACTCTTATTAATTCTTAAATTTTAGGCTCGACGAGCGCTCGAGATGAATCAACGCTGCTTTCCGCCGTCAAAATCATTATTGGGTGGATCGACGCGACAAGAACCAGATGACAACCAAAAGAGAAGCCAATTGGAGGATAGACGTGGCTTTGACGCACCACAATCTGATCAAACGAACAGGAGAAAACACGAGGATCTGGAGGGTGAGGACTTGAGAGCTCGGAAGAGGCCGAAAGTCGAGAAGAAAGTTTTCAACGAGTTGGACCACCCACAAGCTCGACCGCCTGAAATCAGCGACAGTGACATCATTAATGAAGCCTTCCGCTTTTTGGATGTTGACGTTTTTGCGGTACAACCGGAAAATTTACCGCTTTTGCTGGAAAATATGTTGACGGTGGAACAACGACTCAACAAGGTATCCGTCGGCAAAGAGGACATTCGACAGAAAATGGTAAAGATTTACGAGCAAGAGTCGGCGGATACGAGGTTTTGTTTGAGTGAAATGGAGAGACGAGCCGAGTTGCTGCCACATGGAGTGCCGGGTGCTGCCCCCGAGGATCATCGCCGTTGGTTGCACAATGCTCGCATGACTTTCTTGCGAATTGACATGCCACACAAGAACATTGCAAAAACGGTGCCAAATGGGCCTGTGCCTGGTTTCAGTGTGCCGTCGCGTGAAAGATTGGACCGTGCAGAGAACGCGAAAAGCTTTGAGGACATGACTGCTTCGTTGGCACCACCAGGACGCCCAATGAGCCGCCCCGGCCGACCGCTTTCTCGTGATGCTCCGTTTGCACCTGCCCCACAAGTTGCATCAACTCAAAGAGTACCAATGCAACAAGGGCCTAGTATCAACTTTACTCTGCCGCCTCCATTAATTCCGCCTCTGGGTGCCGTCGCGTTTACGTTGCCACCTCCGAGCTTTGAGCCATCCACTGCTTCAGCTTCAACATCATCGAGTTCTGTTGGTTTGCCCGACTTCTCTCGTCCGCCGCCAATGATCGCTGATCTGAAAGCCGTTCAAACGGCTGTGCCACAACACAAAACCCTTCCTATTACCATTGTGGAACCGGTGAAAATCACACTAAAGCCATTGATGGAAGTGAAAACGTCGGCCAACTTTATCCCCGTGATCAATACGACTCCCCGAAGACAAGGACTACCGAATTTTAACTACGGAATGTATTGAATCATTTGTTTTTTCATGTTTTTGCCCAATTTATGTTCTGTTGAGCCTTTCAGATTTCTAACCTTTCAGGGAGTATTTTCTGTATCGATATTCTGATTTCGACTTTAGATTTGTGACCCGGTGCTTAGAAGGGCGCCGCTCATAGACGGGTACTTGTCACGTTTTAAGCTTCAGCTCTATCATTTCGTTTATTGTTTTGTTGTCAATTTTGCATTTTCAATTTACTGATGTTGTTTAGAGATTTCAAATTTAGAAAGTGGTATCAAAAATTTTCGCGACAAATGTTAAGCATCGATCTCTAAATTTGAAATCTCTAAGCCGTTTCGTTCTACATGATGATAAATTTTTCCAGGTAGTAATGTCTTCGCAAGTGACAAGCCAAGTGAATACGACAAGCGATGCGGTTGTCGATCGCGAAAAGATCTGCCCACTTTTGCTGCGAATCTTCTGCTCGAACGGTCGCCACAATGCAGTCAGCGAGTATGGACGAGGAAGTGTGCCGGCAAACGAGCTTCAAATCTACACATGGTTGGATTGCACATTGAGGGAGCTCACCTCGCTCATCAAAGAAGTCAATCCAGAAGCACGAAAAAGGGGAACGACTTTTGACTTCTCGATTGTGGCACCGGATCGCTTTCAGGTTATTTTTTGACTAGGTTTTTCAAAGTTGAAAGTAAATTAATAGCTTTTAGGTTAAAGAATTGGCCATAAGCTAGTTAGAATTGAAAATTTTGAGCTAACTCTCAAATAATTTACCTTAAGCATGAGCAAACCAAATGAGTAGTTGTAACTCTAGTTTAAGGTTATAGTTTAACTGTTAGATCTTCAGACTTCAGATTTAACAGGCTTTTCCACTCATAAAATAATTTTATTTTAGGCTCGCTACTCAATGCGTGATATCGGGAACACGATGAATGGAACGCGCGGAGTAGACGATAACAAATCGCTCAACCAGTGCAAGTTTGAGATCGGAGACTACATCGATGTCGCAATCACGTTGCCACAATTTCAACGAGGCGGTGATCATCATCGAGGAGGTGGACGAATGAGTGGCGGAGGACGCGACTTCTCGAGTGGACCTCGTCGCGATTTCCAAAGAAACAACTTCTAAATTATATTTTGGCGTTAATGTATTGTATTTCACGGCTAATTTTCTGGTTCATTTTGTCGTTATTCATGTTGGTCTCAAATTTTTATTGTATTGTTTTCGTAAGTTGTTGTTAAATTTTTTCACGTTTATTTCTTTCATCGAATAAATAAACTTTGCAGGTAATGCTCGGGCGTTTGGGTGGTTGTGGCCATCTTGGACCGTTGAGAAGCCGTGTTGTTGGTACAAATCGAGGATTGGCTGGTGGGGGACATGGACATGGAAATGAGGGAGATGCAAAGGTTCAGCGCCAGGCATGTTTGCTTATCTGTCATACGATATTAGGCATCAAAAAATTTGAGTATCATAGAATTTACAAGAAACAAATTTAAAACCAATGCATTACTTCTTTTTAGGCAGACGACTATCGACCTGGTCAGGACACTTACGCCTACGAGAATCCCTGGCCCAAGCTGAATGGTGGACGATTCGATTGGCTCTTCGGTGATGGGTGAGCTTGATCTTCATTACATAGTTGATTATTTTTACAATTAGGCTTAAAATCGACATTTCATTTGATGAGTTTAACTAAAGTATGAACTCGGGCGTTTAATGTACTCGTGGCAAATTTTAGATGGCGGCGACCGCTTGCTAAAGATCAAGGAGCAAAGATGCGTCGTGAATGGATTTGGTTTAGTCAGGTATTCTTTTGGAAGTATGACGCTTAAAATCTAAATTTTTAGGTTGCTCATGATGAACATGCCGATTGGAAACGATTTCACTCAGTTTTCTTTACATCAATGACGGTGAGTCGTTTACGTGCTATACTTTGATAATTATTTCTTGGTTTTAGTTGTTGACGATTTGGGTGACGTCTTATATCATCTGGTTCCGCCCCGACTGGCCACAAGCAAAAGAGTGGGCTCTACGAGAAGCACATCTAGAAATTGAACGTAGAAGGTGGGCAAAAGTTTAATAAATTACCTAAGGTTATGGATGATGCGGCTTAGGATTAGTCAATGTAAAAGTTTGAATCTATCTATATTTTTACAGGAAAGCTGGCCTCCCATTGATTTCACCTGATCTACTTCCACGTGACAGAGTGACCGCCCAACTTCCGGCTGAAGAGGAACTCCGAGATTTCGACGTTCTTATTTAAGTGGTATTTTTCTAGGTCTGTTGTCATTATGTTTTTGCTTATGTGATGTACGTAGCCAATCACTCTTTTTTGCGCCTAAAAATCGCCTAATTTTCCCTAGTTATACGATCATTTTTAAGGGATTGTCTTTTAAAGATTATATTATGTAAATTTTTTTGCTCAATTTCCTTTTTCGAGCCCCCATTTTCTATATTCCGATTTTCTTTCATAGGTGAGTGGTTACTTGTAGTTTTCTTCGAAGTCCCTCGTTAAATTTCCCTCAGTCAGTCAATGATTTGTTTTTTAGGCAAAATGTATAAATGTAAAGTAACAAATTTCATAGGAACACAAAGAATTCTGATTGAAAATGAGAATGAAAAATAGTGAACTACTGAAGTAACTGTAAGATACAATAAACAAAATTAATTAGCAAGCAAAAAAAGGAAAAATTACTAGTAAACGAAGTTACTGTTGTCTGGAATTAATTTGAATGCTCAAATCATGAACTCGCTTGGCTTCTTGAAGAAGTGACAGCGGGGTAGTTATGTGATCGTACGGCATTTGATACGGAACCTTATTATTCAATTCATCTGTAACCTCATTTATTTGAATGTTGGCAGTTAAGGTGACCTTTTTCTCTAAAAGAACACTGACAACCATTTGGGACCAATTTTTAGCAAAGCTCTGAAATTTCGCGTTTCAAAAAGTCAAAACCGTTTTGACTCGCTCCACCGCATCAGGTTTACAAAAAAAAACTTTACATACGCTTGAAATTTCCTGAAAGCATTCGGGTTTTTTCTTGGAAAATTTCGACGAATAAAAGACCTACAAAATCAGATTCTTTTTTTCTCGCAATTCAGATTCGGATTCAAATTTGTTACTCATCGAATCAATGCCTCATTCAGCCATTGTACTACCCCAATTCTCAATTCTTCGACGCCCAAATGAAACTCGAGATTCGATCTTTTCCAAATTAAACTACGAGATTTCTGTAACGTTTCAAATCCAAATTTTCAAGAAAGATGCAAGAATTTTGTTGTCGAAAAGCTAACTCTACATCAAAAATCAATAGTTGAACTTTAATTTTCAAAAATGCGAAAGATTTCTCGTAGATAACGAATCGAGGATCTCGTTTAGATTCGGGTATTTTGATCTGAATGAATCTGAATGAATGCACCGGTCGAGAATTTTCCCCAGCAATAAACCATAGTCATAAGAGTTATTTTCGCTATTGCAGAAACGAAGAGTCGTTTCCTTTCGCATCTAGATACAATTGAGAGTTGGTGTTGCAGAAAAGCACATTTAACACACTCACTTCGATCCGCCCCACCGGTGGGCTGTACAAATGACGATTATTTTTGGTGTCAACTTGGTTTTACGGACTTTTACTTATTTTGGGGAAAGTTCCCAGTAAATTTGTACTAGTTTTCAAGAGGAGATTCTGGGCTTTCGAATGGCTAGAATAGTTTATCTTTGAATTCTCATCAAGTCAAAACAGTAACGACTACGCAACTTTACACTCAAAATACCGTCATCACGAATTTCTATTATCCGGAACTTCTTTAAAAGTTAAGGTTAAAAGGTGAGTGGTAAATGTGATTTTTTTCGTAATTTCTTCAAGTTTTGTCGCCTTTGGAATTATAAAAAACGACATTTCACCCGCTAAACTACTTAATGGCTTTTCCATTTAGAAATTGCAACACTTTCAACATTGCAACCTTTTAAAAGTTGCACTTTTCTTAGCTTAAAGTTCTCGAGAAAATGTAGAAGTTCCGGGTAACAGAATTGCGTCTTCAATCAATGTCAATCAATGTCAATCATCTTCAATCAATGTCTTCAATCGAGAATTGCGCAAAGGTTGTCGAATTTTTCAGTCACGATCTCTTCGATCATTTCGAAGCTGTTTCGTTACTTTCAACAAATCGATCAAATTCTCGTAGTTTAATTTGGAAAAGATCGAATTTCGAGTTTCATTTAGGAGTCGAAGGATTGAGAATTGGGGTAGAACAATGGCTGAACGAGACAGACATTCATTCGATGAGTAACAAATTTGAAGTTGCGAGTTTGAACTTTCTGAGTTGCGAGAAAAAAGAAACAAAATTTCTGGCCTTTTATCCGCTCAATCAATTCTCAACTACTATTCGCATTTTCTTGACCATTTAAAGTGCTTTCTTTGGATATGACACCTTGAGGCGTTTTTATCCATCTCAAAATTACATTAGCCAACTTTTGAGTTAATCCACCTTTTTTAATGAAATTAACGCTGTATTTCAACGATCGAACAAAATGATAAAGTTTAATAAAAACTATCAAAAAAATTATAGACACACCATGTTTTTTGCTAGTTTAGAGCCGGATATAAGTGCTAGTCCAGTGAAAAGCATTTTTTCGTTTCTTTAACATAAAGAAAACATCGCATGCAAAATTTCAAGTCATTTCACCCATCCAAAGTACTTTATCGTACAAAAAACGTTTTTCAGCTGTCAAAAATTTAGACGCCTTTTTTTTATAAGAAAAAGTTAACAGAAATAAAATACAACGGCATGTCCAGAAATGACACCCGAAGAATTGGCCAAGATCGCCAATCAAGAATAGACGAACATACAGGGTCGAGATGGTCGCCGAGAGGAAGGCCAAGAATTTGTCGTACGAGAGTAAACGTCTAAAAATTCAATTTATACAATTTTACACAACTTTTCCGTTAAGAACATCATAAAAACCATACCTAGTCGTTTTAAAAACGAGAGACAGTATTTGCAACGTAAACTTAATACTTAAATACTTTTTCGTTCATAATTATCCAGCAACATTCATCAAACATCCCAATGTGTACTTCTTTAACCCTTTATCTAGTGAATGTAACTGAAATTACGAAGGTATTTATATGTAAAATGGAAGGCACCGTAACAAATTTGTAAAGCTATAACAAATTGGGATCGATGTGCAAAGCGAAAAAAACAGTTACAAGTTATCAAAGGAAAACACAAATTCCATAAGCATGAATGGCATCATTCTCTTTGGCGATCCAGTAGTCATCAAGATCGGCAGCGCCGTGTTTCGACTTGGGCACAATTTCACGACGAGCTGGATCAATCCCAATCAACTTGTAGGTTCTTCCATCGTAGTGATAAGTCGATGCGTAAGCAAGAGTAGTCTTTGGATCAGCAGAGCAGTAGATGCCGTAAGCATAAGCAAAGCGTACCCCTTTTGCCTAAAAGAAATACAAGTTAGATAAACTGAAATGTGACAAACCAAATCAAGTCCACCACTTCGAACAATTTCAGCAGCACGTGGATCTGTTGTTCCATGGTAAGCGGCTAGCCATTCATTTGGGGCAGAATTCTGGTCACTTAGGTAATTAAAATCAATATACATCTTAGATATTTCAGTGGATTTCCTTTCAGCTTAACCACTAAAATTAGCGCCTTTTGTATAATAATATATACTTTATCCATCAAATAAAGTGATCCAATGAATGGCACATTAGAATAGTTGAAAGCTAAGCTTGCAAAATATCAACGTATGCAAAAATTGTGCAATGTCACAGATCAAAAAGTAGTTTCTAGTTAACACGGAAAGACACAAATTCCGTACGGACGAATGGCGTCATTCTCCTTGGCAATCCAGTAGTCATCAAGATCGGCAACACCGTGTTTCGATTTGGGCACAATTTTACGACGAGATGGATCGACACGAGCCTGAAACAAACTAATAAAGTATTTCCAAGAAATAATTTTGAGTTGTTATTTATCGTTGGTATGTGTATGTGTACGACTAAGAAGTATGTAACAAATCCCACCTGAACAATCAACTTGTAGGTTTTTCCATCGTGTTTGAAAGTCGATGCATAAGCGAGTGCAGTCTTTGGGTCTGGTGTGCAGTAAATGCCATGACCAAAAGCAAAGCGCTTTCCTTTCTCCTAGAAGAATATTTTGTAAAAAGGATCCACGATTACCCACTATTTATACAAAAGCAAAAATAACAAACCAAATCAAGTCCACCACTACGAACAATCTCAGCAGCACGCGGATCCGTTGTTCCATGATAAGCAACTGGCCATTCGCCATCAATAGAGCTGTTCGCACTTTGGCTAAACCTGTAGTTAACAAAATAAAACAGGAGACAAATTACCGGTGAAGAGTTCCAAGCCAAACGTTGTCCCCATATTTGTCAAGAACAGCGAGAGCATAACGCTTTGATCCAAGTGGACGAGTGTAGAGAGCTCCACCACGAGAGAATAATTGCTGATCGACCAAAATCTTCGTGAAATCGTAATTGAACTTCTCAGCAAAGCATTCCTTGTGCATTTGGTAAGCGATACATCTTCCTCCTCCTCGAAGTCTCAGCACCAAATGAATAGTAGATTCATTTTGGATATTGTATTCACTCAAAGTCCTTCCATCCTCCAATTGACCTGTAGCAAAAATGAGACGTTGTTGATCGGGAGGAATTCCTTCTTTGTCTTGAATAAGCATCTTCAGCTCTTCGACAGTGTAATCACCATTTAGCTCGAGTCCGATTCTCTTTCCCGTCAATGTCCTTACAAAGATGATCATATTATTTGGTTGATGCTTTGCGCGAATCTCTTGGACCGACTTCTTCGACACAACAGCTAAAATAAAAAATACTTTATCGTTACCACGTGGTGATGCCCGAAAACCAGTACCTTAAAAATTGAGATCTTACCTTTTTCAACTGTACTCACATCGAAAAAGAGCTCGCGCGGTTCGACAATCATACCAGCGGCAATGGCTTCTGGATTTGGATCAAAGGGCTTGTTTTTGAGGCGACACATATGATAGTTGATACCAACACGGAGAGCTTCATCTAAACAAAAAAATTTGCCAATATCAAAACATTAAATAAGTTCACCATCAATCGAGAGCGTTGGCATATTGAAAACAGCTACTGATTTCGAGAAGGTGGATCACTGAAAGGAAAACAGTTGAAATTTCTGTCTGGTGGCTATCAATGCATCAAATAACAATAACAATAATAACTTAAAAAGGAAAATTAAG